TTAACAGCTAATGGGCTGGAGCTCTTGTCTGTAGATAGGCGCTTTCAGACGAATAAATTCAGGCGGGGATTTATTGTTACGGGGATGGAACTAACGCGTAGATTCTGGTATCTCTACGTTCTTGGAAATTGTATGAAAAATTGTTCATCAAGATTTTACTAAATGTTTCAAACTTATTCACCTGCAAATCTGCTTCTCAAATAAAAAATGGACACCAATAAAAATTTTTAATTATGTATGGAAAGTTTTCCAAAGCATTTAATTAAGATTTTTGACGAACAAATTTGTCAAGATAGCGCGTAGCGGTCATTTACGGATTTGCTAAATCCATCATCATTAAAAATTTCTTATAGCGCTTATGCTTTATTTAGGGTCATATTTCTTACAGATTATATCTCGTTACATCTTAGTGGCACATAATCTTTTAATATCATCATCTATTTGATGATAAAATGAACATGGCACATTTATCTTCATTAATTATCGATGATTATTAGACATAGTCCCGCAATTTCATCCCACGAATTTCTTCCTCGGTTACAATTTACCGAAAAATTTTACGGGTGCAAAGCAAACGTTTCTCTAATTAAAATTCTGAATTTTCCAGTTATTTGTATTCTAATTACGATCAAAAATACAGAAAAAACTTTTAAATGTCTTCTCCGAGCCGCCCTGTGTGACTAAGGCGGGTCACAGGGTCTGTGCCAGTGCACTGCGCTCGCCCAGGTCAGTGTCGTTAAGACTGTGTTCAGTGTAGCATGTAGGTCGATTGTGCTGCTTTAACGTTGAATGGAAAACGTATCGTGGTGAACCCATGTGCAAGTTACTAAAATAAATCGTATGTGGTTACTGTTTGTAATAAGTTTCTTTGGTAAGAAGATTTTATTCCACGGAATGAAGAGCGAGGATGCAAATATTGATCGCAGTGTCAAAGCTCATGGGGAAGTACGTTGAAGTTCGCCCCCAAATGTCGTCGCCTGATTCGCGTTCCGTAATTCGTATGGACTATGGGCTTGTGAAAATCTTATCATATTTCACACCTTTTTATATCTAGCACATTATTTTTTATTGGTAAAATTACGTTACCATTAAATGCATTTGTTGCAAAAAGTAAAATGTGGAAAATTTGCCCACGTATTTCAATGAAAATGTTTAAAAGTCTCGATTAGTTCTGAAGTGCAGGTTTTCTCCTAGCCTACCTCCCTGAATTAAAATCAAATTCCTAATGTCCCAGCTGAATAAGTTTTAAATATGAGAAAAATGAATGCTATGACAACAATCTCTAATGTTGCGTAATCTAAATATACATCAACGGTTGTCAAATAGATTCACGAGAATCGCTGTCACTGCACCTGTCGGATGTTTGAGCGGGTCGCGACTGTCGTGACGGCAACACAAGGTTGCCTTATAGGTTATTATTAAATTTATGAGAGCAGAACGCGGTCGATCTTGATCTGAACCTTGTCTAATAAACTTCTAACAGGGGCTGTTGGCAAAATTTCTTGCCTGCGATTCTTTTTGTGTTGAAACTGTTGCAATGCATGGCTCTGTCGGGACTTCTATAGTGCACAGCGTATACGCACATCGTTGCCCTATACTATCTTAGGTTTATGAATCAAATATTTTTTATTATTATATTAAAAGGTGCATCTTGATTTTCATTCGAATCTAAACAGGAACTATTTTCTTTTCGTAAAACTTTCGTTGATTATATTCCGGTCAAAAGTTCTTAAGTGTAAATAAATCTACCGTACAATAAACTAACGCCAAAAATGTGCGACCGGTCAACGTTCAACATTCATAGGAAACTATTCACAGGAACGGGAACAATAAATTGTGTAGACGCAGTTCGCGGCCCAATGCAAGTTATAAATAAGTAACTCTTTGAAAATAATTAAAGTTTTACGAGATTTAAAGTTGACGAAGCCATGCGCAGATTACTCGAAAATGAACTAAACAAAAATTGAAGATGGTTTAGTGGCCGCGGAAGCTCCGATTTTTATCGCTACAAAAAAGCTATAAGCAATTTTACTTTCATTAAACTGTCTATATTTCACGCTATTGGTAATATTCTTTACTACAACCTGCCGTTGCAATGCAATGCGGATTATGGGAAAAGAATAGCACCAAAGAAAACATTTGGATTATACCTATTTCTGTGATGTAAATGTGAACTGCATCGACATGTTAATACAAAAACCTCGGTAGTTTAATAGCTTAAAATGGTCAATATTAGTATCTCATGTTTTAATAACAACCAATTTACCTTTCTATTGTTGACTGCTACGTACACTGAAGATTTGCTAGATTAAAAGGCCATCAAAGCGTTCAAATCTGATATTTTAGCGTATTGGAATTGGGTGCGTGCTGACCTCCGGTCAAAACCTTTAGCTCGGCCATTCACCCTGCATAGAAATCTTTTACGTATGTACAAAGAAAAAGCGCTTCCAAAAATACTTGCGTGTTATGTATAAATGGTAAACGCATAATACATGAAATTTGACTACAAGAATTCAAGAACTCAATCTGATTATATTCAGGTAGCCTTGAGAACACGATGTCAATAACGGCTGAGATGCGCTTTACCTACCCTAACAAAAATTAAGGCATGATAGACACTGCGAGAGACTCGCTATGCATCTATCCGAGTCATGCTTTCAACTTACTTTGTCGACGTTCAAAGCATCTCACGAATTTTAACCTTCAGTTATGTTGCCGCACCAAAAACTTGTATATCCTGTTAAGAGTTGTGCCTAGTAATGATTAATTGATTAATTAGCAAAATAGTCAATCAAGGAAGTAATAAATTAACGAACGAAAAAATGAATTCGAGTAGGAAAACTGACTTTATATAGTTGAGGTAAAATTTTGTTGTATTTGCACGAATTTCTTCAAGCGAAACCTAGGTTTCGGTTGTCTAGTCTTAGTGAGTGTTCGTAGGAGCTGTCCATGTTAGACGTTGGACTTGAAACTCATTAGGTTCAAATTCAAATCGAATCAACTGTCGATAGCTGTAGTTGAGTAGTGCATTTTACGGTGCAGTTCTCAACCCAATATTCCAACTGAACAAAGGAAGTTGGTCACTGTCGATATCACCCATTGTGGAGTCTGGATGATAATCAGGAGTTGCTGGCCTACTTCAAACGTAATTGTGTCTAACCTACATCAAGCCGGAGTTGCTGGCTTATTTTTATAGTTGTTAAATTTATAGTTAGTTAACATTTCAATGCTCGATCGAAATGAAACGCTTAATGATGTCTTAATTAAAGAAGTCAAAAATCATGATCGTCGGATATACCAGCGTCTACTGGACTTGCGTCAGTTGCGTGACATATAGATTAGAACGTCAAATGTTGTTGCAAGCCTCAAAGACTATGGAAAATACTTTCAAAAACGGATAACAATAATATTAGGGAATGTAAACTACCATTTTGGTAAGATATTTTGAAAATTACATCATTATTGTTTGTTTTTCAGCTACGTTATCTCCATATTTCAAGCAATGACTAAAATGAACAACGGGAAAACTAAACCAAAAGGATTGCAGGTCGATTGGACACACCGAACAGAGCACATTGGGCGAAGCCGAGTCAGTTTATACAAGTCTGTTTTGTTGCCTAGCAACAGGGCTAACCGACAAGCTTTTATTGACGACATGGTCGCGGACAATATCGGTCACGATAATCAAACCGGAATAAACGGATTTCCTCATCCAAAATTCGATAGTTCGAATCATAGAATCTTTGGAAATGAAAAACAAAATGGCTTTGGGGTGTCAAAATCCGCATTAATAGGAAACGAAACCAAATTCCAAAATGGGGTACTTATTGGCTCACGAGAGACAAATTATGAAACATCTTCAGGGCGTTATAACGCCGTCTCGGCACGTTCGTCTGTTGATTTGCTAACGTCAGAAGAACACGATCTCATCGCTGGAGTTTCTAAGGGTCCATCCCTGGTGACACAGAGGCGCCGAACCCTTGCCTCTCTCACTGAACTGCTACATCTTGAGAAGTGAGAATTAATTTGCAAGCAGAATTCTCTTCTTATTGATTATCTCCTTTTAAGATTACGTGGAACTTCATATTTTTAACACTCTATGCTCTACGGAGAAAAAAATAGTTTTTCGCCTCTATATTTATTAATTGGCAGATTAGCCTTATCACAGCCCAGGCTAAATAAGGCATTAAATTCGATATCTCCGTTCAGATTTCGTCATCTGCATCCGGTTATCCCGAATCCCATCAATCCTTACCATGTTGACTTTAAAACTAAAATATTTTGAATAAAGAGGTTTTTAAATCCGCATTTAGCATGGAAATCCAGTTGCCGTCCTATTGTGAAAATAAAAAAAAAATCTTCTACTTTTTAAATAAAATTTACACCTACCAGAGTAAAAACCACATTTCAGATTTTAAATCTAACTCTCCTTTGCATTCTTCAAGACTAGAGAATACCACAATTTAAATGAATTTGCAAGATAATATCCCGACACTGTGGGTATCGTGGATTCCGGTCAGCCCTTAAATACTGGTATCTACGACGCGCAGGCTTCTTTTGCACCTAACACCCACAAACTTTGACAAATATATATAATATATTCGAATTTTGTCCCAACTCCTTTGAAAGTTAAGAACTTGTCCGCTCCCGAACCTTACTCAAGGATGGTCCTGTTTGGCTTTATAACTTCAGTGGAAAACATTATGTGACGCTATATGTAACGTATAACAACGCAAATCAACAATTACTCTCATCAAAAGTCTGTGGCTACAACAGGAAAAGTAATGCGTGGATCCCTTGTATACTATACGATGGAACGGTATACTCGTAACACTATACGTGTATTGCAACCACTGAAATGACATTTAGCGCCAAATTTTTCAATTTGGCCATTCATAACCCATAAAAATTTATTTCAGTAAACATTGCACCTCATTGAGCAAGCAGCCGAATATCGTAATAAGGTTAAAGAATCAAATTAAATTCTTTACCCCGGCCAGGTACCGCTACACGGGGGCGGGGAAGAAGGCCCGCAAACGCATCGTGCAGAAGAACGGAGAATGTAACGTGACCGTCGCCAACGTCGCCAGGCGACGTCGACGTTACCTACAGGATATTTTTACGACCCTTGTTGACATCAAGGTGAGTTGAGGCTGTCGCTCACAATTATATCAACGTAGTTAAAGAGGCTATATTCTTTTCTTGAAATAGGTTGCAAATTAATACTTTGTTTATAAAAATGTGGTAAATTCACTATGAAGTTTTCGTCTTGATAAGTTGGCTTAATTTTTGATATATGATAAAAAGTGGACTCAGATCAATTATTATTTTCTTAATAAATCAAAGGTTAGCGTGTGCTGCTGTAATGATCCTTTCACAATCCAAGATGTTGCAGTTCATCGAGAAACACAATTTTCTGCCTGTACAATCTGTTGTTTCATGACATTTCTGCTCTTTCACCTGTGCAGTGGCGGTGGACGCTGATGGTGTTCGCCATGTCGTTCATCTTATCGTGGCTGGTGTTTGCTGTGGTGTGGTGGCTCATCGTCTTCTTGCATGGCGACCTCAAGCCAGACCATCTGCCACACAACCAAGAGAAAAACAAGTCAGTCTTGACTACTGTTACATGGCCAGGGCCTATACTTTCAAAAAAAAGTTAAGAGATCGTAAGGTCATCATCCAATCATTGACAGCCTTTTAAGCAAAATCCACAAATTTTTATAGACAAGAAAATAGAGCGTAAGTACTTACGTTCACTTAGCGAGTTTTGAAAGTATGGCCCCAGGTGAATAAAAAAGCCCCTAAACGTATGACATATGATCAGGAGGTATACATTCAAAAATAGTTTTGAGTTAGCGAATCATTCAGCTAATCACTGATGCCTTCCCAGCTAAACCCACCAATCACGGATGAGGTGGAATTCGCTGCTACGTGTGCTTAAGAGTTTTCATTGTACGGCACTAGGAATATAGAAATAGGCCCGTCAGGAGGAAAAAAATATAACTCAGTACAGTACTCACTGCAGTGAGTGACAGTGAGCGCATTTTCTCGTCGACGAAAACTTGAGGTCACGGACGGACGGACGGACGGACGGACGGACGGACAGACAGACGGACGGACGGACAGACAGACGGACGGACGGACAGACAGACGGACGGACAGACAGACGGACGGACGGACACACAGACAGACAGACGGACATGACGAGCACAATGGTGTATTTTTTCCATAAATGAGAAAATGCGCTAAAAAGTAGGCTGAAGTCCTATAATAAGACAATGAGAAGACTAGTCAGTATAAAAAACCAGCCATATGATCAAAATATGAACAGGGTGATCTGAACTTCTATCCAAAGACCACAAAAAAACTGGTCTGTCTGAGTTCCTATCATGATTCGCTGTCTAAGCTCCTAACGTGAGATCAATAAAGAAGCGGACCAGTAAAACAAAGCAGCCTTCATTGTTCAATGTTAAGCTTCGCCGAAAGCTCCTAGAAACTTAAACTATTCTTAGTGTTGAGCGTAATTTTCTCGTCCCAATTTCGGGTTCTAAGTTCCCTTCTATTTACATAATATTTGTCAACTAACTACGTCTAGGGAGGGTGAGTTAACAATCCGATTGACAGGATTCCTGAAAGCGTCCATCTGTTAGCGATATTGCTTGTAGTCGGATTTTGTTCTCTACAGTGATAGATTTTTAATGGAAAAGAATTCTACTGACGTGTAATTTTGTTCTTGGTCTTCCCCATTATTTTTCAACGAATTTTCAAAGATTATGTTTGCATCACTCAAGTGGGTAGATAGATTAGCTCATTAATGGATCAACTCTGGATCTTCAGTAAACTATTATACCAAATGGAGCTTCATTGGCAAAACTGCAATGGATGACCGGAGATATTTTACTTGATGAACGAGGAACTAGTTGCAGTTCGATAAGAATTAAGTTGCGTTTTCGTTGCAGTTCGCTATGAATTAACTTGCGTTTTCTTTGCAGGTCGATTAGAATTAACTTGCGTTTTCGTTGCAGTTCGATAAGAATTAACTTGCGTTTTCGTTGCAGGTCGATTAGAATTAACTTGCGTTTTCGTTGCAGTTCGATAAGTACAGTTTACTTGCGTTTTCGTTGCAGGTCCATATGAACTAAATTCCATTTTCGTTGCAGTTCGATAAGTATTTACTCGCGTTTTCGTTGCAGTTTGACAGGAATTAACTTGCGTTTTCGTTGCAGTTCGATATGAATTAACTGGAGTTTTGTTACAGTTCAATAAGAATTGACTTGTGTTTTCGTTGCAGTTCGATAAGAATTAACTTGCGTTTTCGTTGCAGTTCGATAAGAATTAACTTGCGTTTTCGTTGCAGTTCGATAAGAATTAACTTGCGTTTTCGTTGCAGTTCGACAATAATTAACTGCGTTTTCGTTGCAGTTCGATAAGAATTAACTTGCGTTTTCGTTGCAGTTCGACAATAATTAACTGCGTTTTCGTTGCAGTTGGTCGCCATGCGTGGTGGGCATCATCAGCTTCACGTCGTGCTTCCTGTTCAGCATAGAGACGCAGCACACCATCGGCTATGGCTCGAGACACACCACAGAGGAGTGCCCTCACGCCATTGTCGTCATGTGTCTCCAGAGTATCACGGGAGTCGTCATTCAGGTGATAATATTGCAGAAAAGATTGTAATATTCACGTAATAATAGTATTCAGGTGATAATGTTATTCGTCACAGGTCTTTCGCTCGTGAACAAGTGGTCATTAATAGCTGCATTTTACCTTCTACAGCATTAAGTTTCACATTACTGCATTCTAACAATAAAGGTTATAAAATAAAAATTGATTAATAGGATAAGAATATTTTACTCTAAATAGTGTCCAATCCTTTCTATTATGGAATATAAAACATCGATGTGGAAAATTTCACAGCGATGTGAGACCTACAACGGGCAAATTTATAGGACATGCAATTATAATTGGACATGCAATTATAATTATTGTTCATTCGTTTTAATTCTGACGATAAATGTATAAAAAATATAGGATGGGTACAATCTTAATAAGAACAATTAAAGCGTTTAAATCTACATTCTGGATTAATTTTAGAAATGTATCAAGCTATCATTATGAACGTGTTAACGAGCTTAACGATCGTCATTTGTAATTTTGATTACAAAATTCTATTAACCACATTGCAGGCGTTCATGGTGGGCATAATTTTTGCGAAACTATCGCGTCCAAAAAAGCGGACGCAGACGCTGATCTTCTCGCGCAAGATGTGCATCTTGCAACGCGACGGACAACTCTGCCTCATGTTCCGTGTGGGCGACATCCGCAAGTCCCATATCATCGAAGCTCATGTCCGGGCTCAGCTCATCCGCAAACACGTCACTCAGGTACCTTGGAGGCCAACACATTGTACTGACGAATAAATTCATGCATAGGCCAACACATGTATTGTATTGACGAATAAATTCACGCATAGGCCAACACATGTATTGTATTGACGAATAAATTCACGCATAGGCCAACACATGTATTGTATTGACGAATAAATTCACGCATATGCCAACACATGTATTGTATTCACGAATAAATACATGCATTAACGGAGAACATAACATAATTTTTATTTATGACATTTGTACATTCTTGCAGTTGCACGCAATCGTTATTATCGTCATAATATCGTTTTCTTAACAGCTGTAATTAATCGTTGTAGTACATCGGGCAACAGAGAATTCATAAAAATCTTAACTGGCAATATTGTGAAGCGTGATTTAGCGATACTTCTACATGTAAGGATTTTAGGATACTTCTACTCGTTAGTTATTCCAATTCGCATTGTCAGTTGCGATTTAAAATCACGTTTTTCAGCGCAAGTTTTTTCGTAATGTTAAGGCATGGTATATTGGACCAGAATTTATTCTAACTTCTCTCCCGCCAAAATAGAATTAGTCGATACATCGAACAAAAGTTTAAGTTTCGTGGTTACAATTTTTCATTTGTTTCATTGAAAATATGATTTTAAATATGAATAATTTTTATATTATGGTAAAATTTACACGATAAATTTGTGTAAAAACTAGAGATGTTATTTTCGGTGAATGCAAAACGGAAATAAATTTCCCTCGATCTGCGGACTTCCAGGCAATGACATCAATGGCATGAAGGTTTTCTTGATATGACGCAAAAGTTTATCGTCAGACATACACCTTATTTTAGATTCTATCTGGAAATTTTCATGTTTATCACTACTGAAATACATAACTGATAGTAATCTTATTGACTTGCGAGGAAAGTTAATTGTTTGGCTGCATGGATCAAATATGCACGTTTTGTGGGGCACTAAGTTCGGGCCTGAAAATATCAGGCTAAAGTTACGAAAAATTTTTAATTAGATGTTCCAGGATATCCTTGACTTTTACATCGAAAATTTCAATTCTCTTCCAGGAAGGCGAAGAGATTCCCCTGCATATGTACGACCTGGACGTAGGATATGACGTGGGCGAGGACAGGATCTTCTTCATCTGGCCGATGACGATCGTTCACAAGATCGACGAAGGATCCCCTCTCTACGATCTGTCAGCCAGCTCTCTGCAGAACGCAGATTTTGAGATTGTCGTCTTGCTGGAAGGCGTCATCGAGTCAACAGGTAAAATATTCGTGATCGTGGATGCAATTTACTTGTACGATGACGGATGTTATCAGATTGAGTAATAACTGCAAAATTAGTAAATTTATTACAGATCTATTATTGTACCTTTTGTAGGTACTTTGTACCGCCTACTTTGTACGACTGCAGTTTGACTAATATTTTAACACGGGTCCAAGGCGCTTGAAGATTTCAATCCAATGGGGAACAAACTAATTGGTTGAGGGAAAACGACCGATGCCAGAAAATTGATGGGTTTTGCAAATGAATGGGTGTTTGGTGGACAGGCCGCAAAATTTTATTGATTATTCAAAGTATATTCATTTTCCAACTTATTGAAGTAGCAAATTGTCCATTAGTAAAACAAGCAATAGATATTTTCAAAACCTCCATTTTGTTTATGAAACATCAATTGTTTCTCAAACCTGCATATTTTCATAAAGTGGAAGTTCTTTATTTTTGAACTTCCGAGCAGGTATGACAACACAAGCCAGGTCCTCGTATCTGCCAGACGAGATCCTGTGGGGTCACAGGTTTCAGCCGCTAGTCAGCTACAAGAAGTCGCCACGTGAAGGTTTCTACGTCGACTTGTCTTTGTTCAACAACACGCAGCCTGTGTGTACGCCAAGTTGCTCTGCAAGGGAGCTTGATGAAGCTCGTAGTGACTCAGCATCAACAGGTATTGCCCTCTGCCATGTACGAATTGACATGTATAGTCCAGAAAAGTTTCGTTATCACTTTAGAACCAATATTATGGATTGCTTTTCCACTATGTACGAATGGGCATGTATTTCCAGAAAAGAGTTACGTTATCACTTTATAACTAATTATTCTTTAAAATTCAGTGATAGGTTTCTTTCAACTTATGTGTACAAGGAGTTTTTTCTCATTTGCAGTTTAATGCGTCATTTCAACATAGTAAGTTATTCAATCTCGTAAATGAAACCATAAATGTCTCCAAGTCTCCGGTCTACGGTAGTTAGTCACAATGTTTCATTATCAATTTGAGTTGACACGGAGCAACGTAACCTGATCAAAGAACAAATTTTGAAAGTTTTTTGCGTAACTGCGATGTCACAACGACTTATACACGAGAAAAGTTGAGAATGAGGTCTACATTTCTAAGACAAATATTATAAATCGTAAACAATAATATTACTTCAACCCTGTGTAGCACGTGTTACTTTTATAGACGTTGATGGATTTTTCGAGCAGATGCTTAGGATTAGGAGTAGGTGAGGGTTATTTCAATAATTAATAATTATATGATAATAAATTATATTAACGATAGGCAGTCGAGATGTTGGATAATTCACAGAATTGTTGGCGACAACGTTTGAACTTTCCTGCTGTTCGAATGCATGAATGGCGAGCTAGCAGTATGAATAAATGTTGAGATTCTTTCTATAACGGCCACCAATATATGAAGAATATACGGGACACTATACTTGATGAACTTCATGGTCACTGTGGTTAACACAACGTGACAAATATTATGAATCAGATAATTCATCGACCGTATAGGAAATCAATGAATTTCGAAGGTGTAATCAAATTATGGGAACTTTTATTATTTTCTATAGATACATAATGTATTTATATTTGATTGATATTGGATATAAATATAAAAATACTCTAATATAAAGTTATATTTTAAATAAGAGTTTTTCAATTCAAAAAAATTGTTTGCCAATAAAAACTTCTCATCAATTATTTCGCTTCATACACGCTTTTACTGCATTGCATTATTGTACAACAAATCAATAGCTAATAATCTCACGTTTGAGCACCTCATTAGCGATCTCGTTGCATCTCAGTCCACGTCACAGTCGCGGGTAGAATAGTAATGTAAATAGGATTTAAACCTCTTTCGTCATATCAATCGTCTTCCTTTCAGATGCTGTTCTTCAATACCCTTTTATATTAAGTCGCCCTCAAAATTTCACTTTCAATAACCCAGTTAGTACAATTTTTTCTGAAAATTATTTAAAATTAGAACCTTGCCTTCTTCTAGTGTAATATTATTTATGAAAATCTGTATACGAGTGCTACATGAGTGGAGCACTTGTAGATTGTTAACTATGATAATCATTTTGATATATAATGCCGTGCAAATTTAAATATTCCGGTTATACGTTGTACGCTTTGAAGACGCAATCTAAATATAATATAAATTATTCCGGTTATACGATGTACTCTTTGAAGACGTAATATAAATCTAATATAAATTATTCCGGTTATAGGATGTACTCTTTGAAGACGTAATATAAATCTAATATAAATTATTCTGGTTATACGTTTTACTCTTTGTAGACGTAATATAAATCTAATATTAATTATTCCGGTTACACGTTGTACTCTTTGAAGACGTAATATAAATCTAATATTAATTTCCAACAGGAGCAGGTGGTCCCGACTTGGGACAGATAGACGAGAAGGAGGCTGATGGCGGCAGTGAACATTCCTCTCAAGGTGAGGTGTTGGAGAGCCTTTAATACATGAAGGAGGATTAAATGCCCTTGATCGCATCAGAAGTTTTATCGTCCTTTCCTTTCCTTACCAGCAGCTTATAAAGCTTTATAATTTTTCACAAGGAGCTAACTAATCAAATCAATTTCATTTAATGACTATTGCTCTTCATTTTTGGTTATTAATAATTGTACTTAATTATACTTAGTCTGCAACGGTTAGTGTTTTCTCTCAGCGTGATATTTTTCTTGTTCTATTATGTTGCTACAATGTTGCATTCCATTGAGTGTTATGAGTTGGTCGTAATTATGTTGAACTCATTGCCGTAAATGCATGCATTTCCAAGTTTAACAACCACCTAATATTTTGTATCCGCGCAATAACTATCCCTTTAATTAGAAAAAAATATATGATATAGACATGGATAACTCATTTTCTGAATTATTATTCATTATTTTCAGTTGTAGTACATAATTAACAGCAAAACTTTAGTTGCAAGATTCAAATCTATTAAAAAGTCACTGTCTGTGACTACTAAGCTCTTATTATAACTTATTATAACTCCTATTATATAAGCGTGACTACTGATTACTAAGCTCTTATCATACTTACTCAATTACTGAATATTTCATCAGCCTCGAATTATTCTACTAAATACCAACTATATACTGCTGATTGTGTTGACTTGAGCTCTACATTTTTATTTGAATCCCTGCAATCTTCATCGATTGCAGAGCTATCATTTAATAATAAATTTATTAAATGTTATATATTATCACGTATGTTACATAAAAATATATGTGACATGAATAAAAATGATATATTATGACATTTATTACAGTTACTATGGAGTGCCCGCTGTCGCCTCACAGCGTTGACACGATGGCAGCAGCTCCTCTGATGAGTCCGTCCCACACTACCGACCACTTCACAAACTCTAATGTCATCAGTAGCAAAAAGTCGCGTTCATTTGGAGTCAACAGTGACACAATCGCACCGTCCATCTCCCAGCGGAACCTTCTGTACCCAGAGGGTGATGATCCAGAAGTGAAGTGCAGTGCTTTTACTTACGAAATCCCTGCACGGCAGAACGATCCTGAACCTGTCGTTGGTAGCAGCCACAGACACAGTATTGCTTCACCATCGCGATATCAAGTGGAGAGTCGACAGGATTTAGATATCGGTTGTGAGAAAGAGCGCACGTATCGACGTGCCATAAGTCAACAGGAAGGGATAGTCTCTTCGCTGTCACATGAACGAAAAAACAACTGGAATTTCAAGAAAGAAAATAATGTGGCAGTGATGCTAGAAGTACCTGGCCAACCTGAAGAGAAGAAACCATGTTTAGTAGATACCATTGAAGGAAGCCAGTCATTAAGTAGTAAAGAAGAAGGTATATCGTACGCACGAGGTCACTGTTCTTCAGAACCGTTAATTAGAGAGGAACCGGCGTCGCCATCCGATATGAGAAGAGAATGGTCGTCCTCAAACGAAGGCGAGCCTGTATTTCCTAACAAACTCAACGTTCCGTCCACTTCACAAAATAACAAATTTTCTTTGAGCTCTAATGCGCCGACCGAAGATACTTTCGGTCCCAATACGAGCAATGACTTCGAGCGAGCTTGGGCAGATCTAAGCAAGAAGAGTTCCACACCTAGGAATAGTGAGGATCGCTTTTCTTCACCTTCTGTCAACCGATCAAGCGCCGTCACTCGAAGATGTGATAGGCTGTCCATCGTCTAGCGGGTAAGTGCTTCACTTCCAATTCGCTGACAATGAAATTTCATTCATTAAGTCAATCTAAAATATGGTTTTAAATTCTCACGAAGTGCTGGAGACTGACGTGAATTCAAGTAAAATGAAGCTCACGCTTTGGCTCTCATTTCCATGTCATATTTGAAACCCTTCAATGGATAAATTGAAGATGAACGGATATTTAAATAGAAGCAAATTACATACATATTAGCTTTTGGAGAGGTGCTTTTAATTTAAAATTCTCCGCTCAGCTTTATATAAATCTTCTCATTTGGTATGTAAAAATAATATCACGAATAATATCATCATGGCTGAGTAGCCCAGTGGTTAAAGTTCAGAGAAAAAGGATTGGCACAGAGAGGCGCGGGTTCAATCCCAGCTCTGTGCGCTAGTTTCTGGTCAGAATCGGCAAGGAAGCCGGGCGGTTAAGCAAAGCAGAATTGTAGCAGTGAGTTGTGTGTTCGAGACCACATCAAGCTGTGAATGTTTGCTATGTTTAGAATCGGCGACAGGCCTACGTCCTAATAAACGCTGAAACCACTATGAACCGCTATGATATAACGTATGGGAAATATAATTTAGAAGCTTGAGCTTGTGGTTTCTTAAGCCAGGATAAAAATTTCATTATTATAATGGTAACAACTTTTATTCCAGGCGGCCGCGGCTGATTCCGTCCAAACTTCACGACGGGTCAGCTGTGCAGGCCTCACGAACCGATCCGGCTCTTGCAATGAACCAGCTTCCTCTTCTTTTGCACAGTCAATCGTCCAAACCAATGACAGCGCTCGTAACAAAAGGAAAATCTTCCGCGGACTTCTGCAAGCTTCCCGAGATTCTGATTCAAAACCGACGCCACAGAACGATACGTTCGACCTGCAACATCTGTCGGTGGAAATCGCCAAAATTCGCCGGTGTTCGGACTCTCCACTCACACCAGAGTTGCAGCGAAATAAGGAAGCTCTTCAGCAGAGACGGCGAACTATTTCATTTGATGGTCATGGTTCACAAGGGGACTTACAGGATGATAATACTGCGACCGATCTCCCATTCGGCGATTTTTTCGAGTTTGTTTCTTCGCTCGCGCAGGATAAAGAAACTTGCGACAAGATAAGGGAAAAAATTGAATGGGAATCGGTTACGAATGGCTGGGAGGGACTTGATTTCTGGAATCCCAAGAAGAAGCAGAGGTTCAAGAAGCGTACAAGCAAGTCTTTGTTCGGTCGATCTACCAAAGACTCGGATTCCACGCGAACCCCTTACAAAGGCACGCCGGTAAAGAACAGGAGGAAATCTTGCTCGGTGAATGATACCCTGGCTGTCAAGAATTTGGCAGTAACAAGAAACACAAAAGTGGAGCCGAGCTACTCAGCAGCAGCCCCAAAATTTTGCTCAATTAGTGAAATATTTCCTTCTCTTGCGGAAAATGAGTCAGGTTTAGACGGCAAAGTTGAAATAGGACTAAAGGAATATCTTTCGTCTGCCCTTAGTACTAAGGAAAAATGTGTTGACGTGGGATCTACAATAGAAGCCAGCACTCCACGAATGAGATCCAACAGTGCAATTAACTTTTCTTTGAATCCAGATGAAGCATCCATGAAAGACCGCAAGCCATCACTACCTGATAGCCTCAAGTTATCAACTAAAGTTAAAAAAAGTGGGTCCTATAAGGAATCAGTATCCGATTCCATGGTGATCTCTAAGCCAATATTTCATCTTTCTGTAGACGATTCTGCGAAGGCAAAAGCTTTGAATCTGCAGGAGTGTATCAATAAACTGTTGGATTCCGACCGCGAATTCACTGATTCAAGTATGAGGGATGCAGATTTAACTGTGCAATCTTTCTCAACACCCAGTGGTGATTCCATCATATTAGCAACTAAAGTTGGGGAGAATCTCGGTCAACAATCTTTCCGCCACAGTCCTAAACATTTTTGGAAAATTGCCAAGAAAAAAAGACGCATGACCTTAGGAAACCCGAACATTGACATTTCCAAGGTTAGGAAACTGTTGAAACAGCACGAGAAGAAGCTTGAACCACGAGAATTTTGCTCTGATGTTGGTCTGTGCAACAACCAAAATCCTCATTTAAGTTCAAGCTCGTTGACGACACAAGAATCCAGCAGCCCCTACACATGCTCGCGTAAAATTCATTCAAAAGTCGAGATTCGTATTGATGACTATGAGATGAAACAGCCAGAATTTCTGGAAGACGATGACGATACACAGATAACTGTGCCGGAACTCAAGATTCCCGAGACTTGAAGGAACTAGGTTCTTCAAGGCATCATTAATAATGACTCCAAAGAAATTCCGGCTAAATTTGTGATCTTTGCTTAACCAACAGCAAGTGAAATGAAAACAATCTCCCCGCTTCTGAACACGAGTCCGGCCTGCAGCTTTTGTAAATCAAATAATAACAAAATTGAAATTTATAAAACCGCTTCTTGAGTCCAGTGAAAGCTAAAACCGTCAATATGTGAATGATAGATAAGTAGAAATAATATTAGTCTCTAGAATGTATTTAAAGATGAATTTATAGAACTATTGTTGAGTTGATTTGTTCTAATTTATTTAGGTGCGATTTTCGTTGTATCCTTGAGAGTTTTTTTTATTGATTGATGTTGGTTCGAATTCTATGATGAATTTGTTCCAGAATTCTTTGTGGTATTATTGTTTCGACTTCGTTATATTTTGAAGCTAAATAATTAGGGTAGAGTTGATAGATGACGGTAGACGCGAGTTTATTTTCCAGCTGATATTGAATTTGATTTGCCTTGACCTTCTTCAATAGCAGCGATGTCGTGTCTTCGATCCAATTATAGAAATACAAGCTTTAGAGGGATAACATAGTAATGCACGATTATGTGCAACAGAAGAATCCACTAAGTTAGAAGAGATTTTTTAGGCTTTTACTTTTATTTCAACACGGGTATAAACGCAATAGGAAATCATTGTTTGTTGTAGGAAAGGAAATAAGGTTAAGTATAGGGAATAAGTTAAAGTGTAACAACATTGCGTCAACACCCGCTTGTAGCAATATCTGCCTTTGAAGTCTCACCTAAGTGGCCTAACTTGTCATATTATTTCTATTACGCAGAAAACTTTCAGAAATTTGCCAAGTATTAAGCTGTGCTCGTTAAGTATAGATCATGCAAGTAGAATAGATCCTGGAAATAAATTCGCACTGCTTATAAATGTGTAGGATAGGTAGTGCTATAAATAATATCAACATAGGTGCTTAGCTATTTTTCGAGACCGTCACATATTAGGATCAACAATTACCAACAATCCAATGGGAATTTATTAGGGCTTTGACTTGACGTTTTACTCCTCAATTGTCCCCTAGCATTTTAAGATTAATAAATTTGATGTGCAAAATCAACGTTAAATAGATGATTTATCTATTTTACAAATTTCTCGCGGTACAAAAATGAACGGAGTGAGGCGACTTTACCTCGCTTCTTGATACTTAATTGTTAGGGTTTTACGTCGTCCATCATTATTGAAAAGGGTATCATAATGACATATTTACAGGTGAACGGGTTGGTGCTATGATTATCATGTGTATAGAACTGACTAAAAAAATTATTATTAAAACAAGTTTACAAGTGAACGGTTTTGTGCAACACACAGAACGCGCGCCATGCGCGTCAACCTGATACGCAATCAATCTAGAGTGTCTTGCTTCTGGTCCATGCACCTCAGAATGAATGCAATCAGTTTATTTTTAGAGATTATCAAGCTTTTCCTATATCTAGTCACGACAGTAAATTGTAATTGACGTCACCCCATCAACATTATTATAAGTTTGAAGACCTGATTCATTATCAGGATATGGAAGATAAGTTTATCTGTTCTGAGAAAAAGTTTTTTTGTTCGATAATTTCCATTTGTACATTTTAATAGATTATTTGCCGTAAGATTTTTACTTTAAAGATCATTGACTGATTTTTCCAAATATTATTTGGTGCGAAGTCTGGACGTATCGAATTCAAGCTCTGACCATGTGATAGTACATCGAACAGTTTATATATTTTAAAACATTGAAGGATGTTGCCTATAATATTCCTAAAAGCTTCGTGATGACCTTTTTTTCTGTAACGAGCCATGGATTTGCTTTCAGGTTCTTTCTTCGTATTTAATTGATGAAGTAATACATGTTTTGTGTTAATTAGCAATTTACGTTGTTCATTTATAGGATACAATTATTTATGAAACAAATTAATCATGTAAATGCTCAAATTAAAACTTTTGGTTTTTAAGGATAAATTAATTAAAAAAGGACAAAGAACGGCAAGAAAAAAAATTACTGTAGTGGTAGCATAAATATGCGTTCGGCACAAATGACAATCGACAAAATTTTGTTCCAATTCTAGCGTATTTCTGCAGCAAATAAAATGTCAGTTAATTGAACTTTAGAAAAGAAACAAGCTAAGCAATCCTAAGTCCCTCAAATGTTTGTTTGCTATTTCAGTTCGCGATTTTCAAACGCATTTCATTCATCAAGGGTGATTTTATATTTCAGGGAGGTGGATTCAACATCTCGTAATTTTGACATGGTTAAATTTGTTTTTTTTTCACTCATAAAGCAATATATTCTCATGCTGGGAGGGAGATGAGGCTTTAGTATCAAATTAAAATATTTTTTTACGAGTTAGTGAAAAAATGTATTTTTTTTTTTTTGACCAAGTGATGTCCATTTTTCTTTCCAGACATAGTTTTGAATTTCAATATTTTCCACACCAATCTTTGAGCTCAAACATTGACTGCGATTTGGTCGAATTTAGAATTTCAGTAGTTACTTCCACGAACAGAAAGTGACAAAATTGCAGTAATATTGCGTGCTGATGACATTAAAAGTTTCAAAAACTAATCTTTTCCGTAGAATATTATTGGAAATTATTTTATATGCGTGTGCGATGGAAGGATGGTTTAAAAACCAAAAAAGTATTTGACTGGAAGTACGAAAATCCTGTTAGTTGCCAAGGTAAATTACTATCGCTGTTATAGGTTACCAGCAGAGATATGCAAATTTTCACTACGAGAGAGAACCTTGAATACTTGCGCTTTTTGGCATGAAAGGGCCACCTATCATCATTAATATCACCGAGGACAACGGTCAACGATCGTCTGCCAAACGTACAAAATTTCTCCACCTAATAACGATTGTTATCTCCTATTGCCGCAAGATATTAAGCGTTTCCTTTGTCAGCTGCTAAAAAATTATATATTATTTTGAATGTCCCTCGTTTCGCGTGACGAGATTCAAAATGTTATGTCAATCTTTTCTGATTTAATTGCTCTCAATCCCGACTGGGTGCAGAAAGCAGTGCGTCTAGACGACAGGTGGAGAGATAATCATATGTTCATTCTCACAGCCGTGACATATTTTCTTAGATGAAAATAAATACGTGAAAAATAGGTGCTATTATTAACCAAGAAGTTTAGACCGACTGATGAAGCACAGCGATTATAAGTTAATTATAATTATAATAATTATAATTATATTACATCATAACATTATAAGTTAATTTTACTATTGATAAAATCTTAGGGTTCAGTCTAAATTTAATTTATCTTTCTGTGAGGACATCGTTCGTGTCGGAGTAACTCTGTTGGCTTTTAAGAAAGTTATTCATGGAAGTGCATTAATTATTAGAATCTGTTCTACAGTATAGGCATTGTGCAGAGAAAATTTTTCACGTCAGGGTCTATGTCGCCAGAGGTTCACTGTCCTTGTGATAAAAACAATGGTTTCCCTTGTCCGCGGTTATTTTACATGTCAGATGAACATTGTTCTGGACATTAGCTGGCAGGCGTCTAAATTTGACCGTTGTAATTGTTCTACTGCGGTTAATGTAAGAACTTGGGAGCTCGAAACTTTGTATGCCTCTCTAAATTTTGTTAACCAGATCTTTATCGTGTAGGGTTATTGTTGAAATGATACAATCTTTTTCAGCTTGAAATTTTAATCACATCATGAAACCGGGAGCAGGAATCATTGCATGGATGTTAATGGAGTAATTTATCTGAAGAGGATGCTGAAGTCTTCGTTAAGCGGCAGGTTAAGGCTGAGCACGAGCACCTGCGTCGCGGAATCGTACGTGAATGTGTCGGTGTCGACGCCGTTGACGGAAATGGCGGTCGGGCTTGCAGGCAGTCCGAGCACGCGGACGCTGCCAAGGTTCACTCCGGCCGCCGCCGTGCGGTTAAACTTTCCAGTCATTACCATCTGGCCCTGATGAATCGTCGTGATTAAAATTTTGTTATACGTAATTATGACTCAATTATATGTGATTAAGAGTACTTCTTAATTTATATCACTCACATATATAAAATTCAATTACACGGAGCATTGGGAAATCAGTAGCAAAACGCAATCATTCGTTAGCTTCTCTAGTATTCTCTAGTATTCGAAAAGAATTGAAAGGTCAAGTGTGAAAATAAATGTACCGATTCTATTAACGTATTCCAGTCTCGCTAAATGTAAATTGTTTAATTTCAAAAGAATGCCCAATTATTGGGTAAGCTTAGATGGAGTTCTAGTAAAAATATAGTAGACGGGAAAGAAATAAAATATGAAAGAAAAATAATGTTAATTGTNAGATGTTGTAGAGATACGTCATGAACTTGTAATGCGTCAATAAACATATATATAATGCAGACTAGCGTCTACAGAACAAACTGACGTAGTGGAAGAGGTTGTAGAGATACGGCAAGAACTTGTAGCGCGTCAGGAAAGCGTCTCGGGCTACCGCCGCCACTTCGGGCCACACTGCCGGGTCCTGGTCGGGCTGGCCGATTGCGTTATGGTTGCGACTACCGGGACAAAACACGAAACGTATCCAATTAAAATTATTTAAAAAGAATCGAGTATACAATCAGAAAAAGGTATTTTTTAATCCAAAAAACATAATTTTGAAATGTTACGATTCCTAAACAAGTAGCGAGAAATCTTCTTAAAATTCAAGCTATGATACGCTAGATATTTCTTCTTGGATAAATCCCGCTTCATTCATGAAATTACGCTGACATTATGAATAAATAAATAATTTTCGTGATATCTCTGATAAAAACCTTCAACATGCAGATAAGGAAGTTATTGAGAGAATATTATTTATAGGGATTGAATACAATGCTCCACCGAAGTAACATGGACGCTTCTAGAATGTAATATGAATGCAATAAGAATACAATAACATGCATAATCACACATTAAGAAGAAATAACATGCAAAATCATGCAATAAGAATGCAATAACATGCAATATCATGTTATATGAATGAAATGACATGAAAAATCATGCATTTAGAATGCAATATCATGTAATAAGAAGGCAACAACATTCAATATCATGCAATAAGAAGGCAATAAAATGCAATAACATGCAATAAGAATGCAATAAAATGCAATATGAATGCACTAAAAATGTAATTATTTTAACCTGAACGGATAGAAGGCGCCCAACTGATGCCATCGGGAGCACAGCTCTTGCGTCGTAGCGCCACCGAAGCCGCAGATGTCAGCGCCCACCATCGGGATGCCGAACATATTGAACTCGATGACACCTGAGGACGAACAGCGAGAATTTGTAGAAAGTAATGGAAAGGCTGATTATTTGGATCATTTAATAGAAATATTGAAACCATTGAATGGAAATATTGAAATCATTTAATGTAAATATTGAAATTCGCTGCGAGTCTGAAAATTCATTCGACAAATCAGCTTCAAATACGGCATTCAACACTTTTGACTGCAAAATCAAAACACGAACGATTACCTTTTACAACACCTGTACAATAGTTCCAATATCTGAACTCACGCATTAGCTGATAAATCACTTTACGTAAGAATTTCTCTGATCAGCGTTCACTGACCAACAACATAGATGACGATGTCTCTCCACATCGGCTAATTAATTATGTATGAATTTCACTCATCGATGCCCACTGACCAATAACAGAGAGGACGATGTCCCTTCACACCGTCCTTACATCATCGGCTGATGGGACATCGGCCTTGTCCTCCATCAGCCTCACTTTATATATGAATATCTCCGATCAGTGCCGTGTTCAACAACAGAGATGGCGATGTCCCTCCACATCGCCTAATTAATCACTTTATATATGAATTCCATTCATCGATGCCTACTGACCAACAACAGAGATGGCCATGTCATCCCAGGTAGCGACGTTATCGCCCAGCCAGTGGAAGGAGTAGCGTCCGGTGCCGACGTACGACGAGCGCGTCAACAGGTATGGTCGTTTGCCTGGGAATAGGCTACCCAGGGCACTGCAATAAAAAATTAATTAACTAATTGCCTAATTTTAACAAACTATATGGTTCGTATCGATTGATAACTTTTACACGGTTAAAATTATTGGTGAAGGTCACTCGTTTCATATTTTCGACCGCGGTGAAATGCTCAATACAGTCGAGTCCTATTAAGGCTATGCAGTAAAAACAAAATAAGAACATAACTGATTTGTTGATTAATTGGAATTTACTGAACAAGTAATCCCTGGAACTGCCGCTCCGGATCTACAACTTTTTCGATTTTATCGACTTGTATATGGCTGCGGCACTAAAATTTAAGACCGAAGTATTAATTGCTTGAACGTGTCAATGAAGATAGCGATGAGTTGTCTAATACTAACAGCGTCTTCTTGTCAGTGTATAAAGGGAGTAGTGATGATGGATAAATACCAGGATTTCATGCAAACAAGTATAATCCACAGCCTTTCAAAGACTGAATCTACTCACTTGAACGTAGCCTCGGCCTCTGAATGTCCGTAGAGGCTGTGGATGTCATAGCGCAGCAGCTGCTTGCTGCCGTCGTTGGCAGCGGTGGACATGCAGAGCGTCTTGTCGCAGAGGCGCTGCACGGCGTTGTCAGGAGTGTAGGCCGCTAGCGTTGGGTATGGCGGGTCTTCCAGGCTGAAATATTGTTAATCTTTTATAATTCTTCAACAACTATTTAATTTAGTTAAAAAATTTACAGCCGTGCAATTCTAATTCAATAAATATTTATAACTTCGAATCTATAGAAGGAAAAAAGTATCTATGTAACCTTATCCGCAATGTCAGTTTTTTCTGGTCGTATAACATTATTCTTTAATATAAACAGATCAATATCGTTATAATTTCTATCGTCATATTTAGTGATTTTTCCAGTCCTCCGAAATATTGAAAAATCTTTAACACACTCACAACTAACAACAAAACCATGAACTTCATTAAAATCGACACATTGTTAAAGTAAATGATGGAGGAATGGTATAAATCATTGCTCTGCGACACCATATCTTACTGATTTTTGGGACACATCAGATGGTCTGGCTGACCACCGTCGGTGTCGAAGTTTGCAGGTTCGTTCATGTCGATCCACAGTCCGTCGAAGTTAATGAGCTGCGGATAAATTTCATTGATTAATTTTATCGTTCATGCACGCACGGGACGTTATAAACGCTGCAGTTAAAAGTAATAAATCATGTCTCTTCAATGCTATCAATACCCCGGAATCGCCATATTTATGAGGAGCTTTTCAAAATTAAAATTTATTACGCGAATGTTACCAACATGTAAAAATCGATCTCAGTTGGCAATTATACTACTGAAAATAAGCTGTTTATGGATCCCCATATGTAAGCAATCGTTGCAATAATGCCACAAATTATTATGTCTTGCAAAATCGAAGAAAAATTATATTTACATTTTCACTGGCGAGTGAATGCGGTTCAATACATAATAAATTTTGCTTACCAAAAAAAACATTAGAAACTAAAAACAATTTTAGAAACTAAAAACAACTCGTAACTTGGAATGTCAATGTGAGCATTAAAATCCACACTTTTTTAATTAGCCAAATTGCGCAGTTCGAATAATCAGAATAGCAAAGGAATTTGAGGCCGTCAACCGAACACAGACTGAGCAGAAGCAGATCTTGGAAACTACACATCATGGAACTAAACTTTTTTTATAATAATGGATGCGAGGCAGCTGATCATAGGAGCGGGCGGTAAGAGATATTTCACGAATACTTAAATTAAATCAAATTAATTACACAACGGCTATTTATTTTAAACAAAATTATACAGCTGTGGTTACATCGGATGCAACAATTGAGGTGGTGTTGAGAGCCAAACTTAAATTAAAAACAATTTTACGTTTAGGAGACGTGCCGTGGCTGCGTTGATCTACACAATTATATAAATTTTTTAATATCTGATGAATCAAACGAGAAATCATGTAAATCTGTAACCTGATACCTCACCACACTCAATTTATGCATAAAATACTCCACATTTTTAATATTACGTATTTTTGATTATTAAAACATTATCAACTTAATAATTCAAGGGTTAACTCAGTTAAGCCAGAAAATATGATCCGTAAAATTTTTGATGCTACAATTGCTCAAGTAGTTCATTCTACATATGGTACGATTTGCACCATTGAAACCTATTTATTGCTGATGCCTTACCCAGGCTAGGTATCAGCCTTACTTTTTATTACTGACACATTATTTCTACTCCTATGCTGTAATAGAGTATTGCTACAAATATGAGTAAATATTTAAAAATACCCGGTGGAAGTAAGTTATTTCATCGAGCCACCAGCTCCTGGTAGCAGCCTTCATGAAGTCAGGGAAGGCCGACCTCTCGTTGGGCCAGACGTTGCCTAGCAAGAAGTCGTCGGCCTCTGGAGGCTGGTCGGTTGGGACCAGGTCTGGCGTCATCCACTGCCAACATCAATAATTTCGTTTATTAATTGCAATTAAAATGTCATTATAACCATATAATTTGGCATGATAAAATTAGTCCTGTTGTTACCTAGAAGAAATAAATTCATTTAATATATAATTGAGCTATCCGTACATCATGGTTGATACTAGTTCAATCATGCCATACATGAGCGCCATGAATTAGGTTCATTAGATCAATAACTTGGATGTACGATTCATAATAATAGAAGAATAAATATTCTAGATTTATTCCAGATTGCATCACAATTTATGTAAACAATACAAATGGCTAGGATTCCCAAGAATCGTTATAATATAATTGCAGATAGAAGATTTAAAACGAGGAAGCCACATCCGATGGATGAATTTACAGAACGGTTAGTAAACCGAGTTGCAAATTATTTCAAAAATCTTTATACTAATTTTTTTATGTTAACATATAAAGCTTTCATTATCCTAAGTAGGCTTGCTTGAAATTATTGTGTACGTACTTTGAGGAATACGTCCTCGGCTCTTCCTGTGACGTAAGGAGGATTGTCTGTGATGTTAACGCCTATGGAGGGGTCCTGAAACAATTCAATGTTATTATTGTCCGTAACAATTTCTCATTTAGTTTAAAAAGCAAATAAATACAGTCATGACCGCTGAACCTTATAACTCGTTTGCAAGATGAAAATGGGAAAGGATATATTTTATCGTATGCTCATACAATAAATTTCACTAATTAATTTATGGGTTTGCTATAATGCAATTTTGAACCTCGAGTCTCCATATTTGGTCCTTTTGGAAGGAAGGATTAGCATAGAAGGATTTTGAGAGTCGTCTCTGCAGTCTGAGTATTATAATTCCGCTCATTAAATTGGGGAACGACTGAATCGAGCCTCATCAATACCGTTTGGTTCGTTAGAGTGCCGAATGTATGAAGCAATAAAGGAGATAGCTCGCTTTTCTATTCGCGGATTTTAGTTTCATATTTGAAAAATTAGCACGAGTGCTAATGCTGAGCGCTTATTTTGAAATGAAGGTCCGCGAATGTCTGCTTCCAACACAGCTCAGTCTGCACATACATAAGCTATTTCCAACATTATGATTCAATGAGATAGTACCTCGCATTTATTGTCGGAAAATATAGATGATATTGAAAATATAGAAATTATATCTAGATTTTGGCGGAAAATATATATCATTAAACGAGTTACTCATATACAGGGTGATTCATGGAAACTTCTTGACTTGAAAGTTCAATAAATAAAGAATTAGTAAATATATCATTACAATATATAATTTATTGGAAAGAACATTACCCGAATTTTTGTATCATATAGATTTAGAAATTATATCGGACAAATGACGGACCCCAATGTCAATGCATTCAGTTAGTCGATTTTTGAAGTTCCGTTCAACTCGCTGAAGCATATTGACGGAAATGTTGGCGATGGCCTGGCTTATATTGTTCTTCAAATGAGGTAGGGTCCTCGGACAGTCATTGTAAACAATTGATATAAAGTAGCACCATGAAAAAATAACACGAAGCCAAATCGAGAGAACGGACCGACCAAAGGTCGATCACCTCGCGAGGAGAGGAGGCGCTCTGCAAAATGTTGTCTCAGACAACCCTGCAAAACGGCCATTAGAAAAGTACGTTTCGACAGCAAAAGTGCTCCTAGACAGCAAACGCACGCTGCCCACTTGTCCAATGCATAGTGGCAACTGTCTAGGCGGGGCACAAAACTTCATGACCTTGCCTTTCATGTGAAATACTCCCCGCCGCTGCTCTGCGCGAAATACAAAACAGGAAGTTTCCGTGAATCACCTTGTATTAAAATTTCCTGGTGTGAAATAATCCAAATTTAAACATGTCATGATTTTTTGTTTCGAATATTTCTAGATGAGAATTTAAGCTGTAGCTCATCAATCTTACGACAATTTTTGCTACCAGTACTAAAACGAATAGCTTTCATACAGTTTATTAATCCGCATCGAGAGAGATGAGCATCAAATAAGACTATAGCATTTAAATGCTCTTAAAATCATAGCAATGTAATTTATTGACGCGATCACTCACGAGGATGAGAACCATCTTCAAGTTGTCTGCGTGAAGTTCGTCTGCGAGCTGAGGCAAGTCGTTGAATTTGACGTGGTCGTAAGAGAAGTCCTTGAAGTCTTCCATGTAGTCGATGTCAAAAGTCTGCACGTCCTGTCGTAAGAAATATACACTAGCAACAGAAAAAATAAAATTATAATTATTTCAGCCGTCAACATTGCTACAATGAGTGAAACTAAGTTTTGTTTTCCAGTGCTTTAATTTAGCTAATGAATTTCAAGTTAGCCAATCTTCCCTCATGGATGAAGCATGGTATCACTACAGATTTTCTTATATCCAGATTTATGAGTAATACGAGATAAGTACTGTATTAGTTGTGTTACGGTACAGTGAATTTAAGTGAAACTTTGACTTTTTAAAATACTTCAATGCCGTTGTTCTTGGAGTACCTGAGGGATGCCGGCGTCAGCTGTCCGCTGTCGCACGGCCCTGACTTCGTCGGTGGAGGTGTAGCCCCAGCGGCAGAGCTGGAAGCCCAGAGACCAGTAGGGTGGAAACGTGGGCTTCCCAACCAACTAGAAAACGAAAAAAACTATTATAAAAGCATCAAACAACATAATTGTCTACATACTTCATATACCAGAAATATCTGTATTGAGAAATTAAAAATTGTCTGCAAGACAACTTTATGCAAGTATTCACTTATCACGGAGAAGCTCAGTAAAAAGTTATTTTAACAATTGAGCTCATAGTTTAAAAGTTGGTTTAACAAATTTCACTTCAGACAACGAGTACTAGATTTACGTACGAAAATTTCCGGCTTCTTATTTCAAATGGTGAAATGTCTTTATTAAAATATAGTTCATTGTTAACAGTTTCACTGCATTTCATCAATCTAAATCCGAATTCATGTGTGAATGTCCAGATTTTCTCACGAACACACCGCGCTGTACTGCTTGTTGAGGTCCTCGGGCGTGGGACCCGTGAAAATGTGCAGGTCGATCACACCGCCGATCGAGCGGATCGTCAGGGCGGGAGTTCCGTCTTCGAGCAAGAAGGTTGAATACTCTGCATAGTAGAGACAAAATTAAGTACACGCGAAATAGAGAATTATAAATAATTATGAATAAATTTAATGTATAAATGAAAAATTTTGTACACAAAATATACGATATTTCAAGAATTTGTCGGACGACTTATCACTGAAAAGTTTGATGGTAGAAGTGTATCTACAAATATACTTGAATAAAATTAAGGAACGATAGCAGCTTATGAGTTGCAGAGAACTAGCTCATGAGTTGCAGCAGTTGTTTTTTTAAATAGAATATTGAGTTATCCAAATAAATGATTCCAGATCCAGGGAAGTTTTACCAACTTCGATTCATTTTGGATTGTAATCCATCAAGTCTCACCCATGGCGTTGGAGTTGAGGAAGAGGACAGAGTGGGAGTTGCCGTCGTCATCTTCGATGTTGACGTAGTAAGGGAACGTACCGTAGTGATTGACTTTATCTTCACTCTAATATGAAGGTAATGCATATATTTAGATACATTTCAAAAAAGGATGAGAGATCATTGAATAAATTTGAATACGTGGGCTACTAAAATTACTTTTTGCCAACTGACCATTTCCAGTCTGGTACACATGCAAGGATCATAGTGATGTTTGTTTACTAACCGATTTTTATGCGCACTTTTATCCTGTTGATTGTATCTATCTATCTATCTATCTAAGTCAACTCTATCTATCCACACAACAGGCTAACGATGACTCGAAAAATTAGCGTAGACCTTGCGTGTGAAATATGCATTCTAATTGGAACACACGTGAAATATCTGCAAAATTTGTTATAAATATATGAATATGAAATATATAAAATTAAATATATGCATATGCAAATAAATATGATTATATGCGTAAAATATATGCATTTTTATGCGTAATGTACGTACAGCGGAGACGCCTCTGTCCCTGGCAAACATTGGATAAGTGGCACGAGGGCTGAACGAGTGTACGAGCTCGCGGTGCACGTTCTCGCCGAAGCCGTACAGATACTCTGATGCCAGACGCACTGTGAACTGCAAGAACTGATCCTCAAACGTTATGGGCCCAATCTGACGGAAACTGCAAACGAAAATACCTGCGTGAGTGAATGTAACTTCCGTTCAACCGATTACACAGATTTTAAATCTCCCCTAGAAATGAAGATAAAGTAATTTTTAAAATATTAACAATTTATATGTTCAATTGAACGTAGAAAATCTATGTTGGTCTTTTAATAGGCAATTTCGCCGCAAAGACATAGAGAGGAGCCCTGAATATAGTTGAGGATATCATTCCGGACACTTGACGCCGGTTAAATAATACACAACGAATTATATTCAGAAATGTCGACCCGGGCTTAGACGATCGTAAAAAATTTATTCTTGTTCTCCAATTTTCCTTGAAAGTGGGTCAGGGAGATATTTAATGTGATAGCTTATATTTAATGTGATAATATAAGAAAAAATTAATATTTTTAAACCCACATTCAGCTTATCAGTAGCTTAGTTCATTAAATTAGTTCACCTCTATTAGTTTATATTTTAATTAAAATAAGGAATAATTATTCTTTGTTAACAGCAAGTGATAGGAAATTTCTTCCTGTGAGCCCCATTAACTTTTGAATAATTTATTAATATCATGACGGAGCCAAAAACCGATGTTCATACAGGGAATATCGTACATGAAAAAAATCACTATAAATTAGAAACCAAATTGAACTAAAGAGGAAATATCGAAACTAATAGAAAATAACGCGAGTTTGGCCGACATTTCACACTCCTCACTCTAGTTTACATTCATAAGCCTAAACTAATAGGAAATATAGAGAGTTTTGCTCACATTTCACACTCTTCACTCTAGTTTACATTCATAAGCCTAAACTAATTGTAAATATCGGGAGTTTTGCTCACATTTCGTTGCCGTTGCTCCTGCGGGTGACGTTCAGGACGACGGGTGCCCCCGCCACGCCCCTGGTGACGTCGTACGCAGGGTTGGACCCCGCCACGGCAGGCAGGTTCACCGCCAACGGCACCTCGTAACGCTCTCTGAACGAGTCCGTTAACTGCAACGGGTTAAATTATGTTTAACTTTGGTCACTTTTATTTTAAGAGATCTAGCGGCGGCAACGGCGAGTTCGTTAAGTTGTGAAAATCATTAACGGTAACGGTTAAATCATTAAGGCAACGGAAATCATTAAAGGTCTAGTAATGCATCGGTTATTTGTGGTTGCAACGGTTATTATTGGTGTGTAAATACAAATCATCTATGAAAGTACACTCAGAGCGCTTGGACTCAATGATCACTGATCATCATTCCCAAGACATAATCCAGTTGTATAAAATCTTGTCCGACTTACCTTGATTTGCACGTGTGTGTCTTCATGGTAGATGACCTCAAGTCGCACATCGTTGATGTCACCACCGAACATCGTCACGGATCTGTCGCTCTTCACCAGCGTCGACTGACCGAAAAATATTTGACTCAATTAACTTAGAAATAATATTTCAACGATTGTCTCTCAATTTATTCACAAGTACTTTCACTAATATGTAGTTAATCACATTTCTTTTTCTTAAAAACGTGGTTTTCTTAAAAATAGTTTAAATTCCCATCATCATTAGCGCCAAATTTTTAAAGATAATTTCCCATGACAGTCTGTATTAGTTTTTACTTTTAATATTTGCCTTTAAATATATTTTTGCATCTGTACTTAAAAAACAAGTTGCAGGTATTTTTTTTTCAAACATTAACTTATGACGACGTACCTGCATACCTTTTCAGATTTTAAAGTACAAATACAAATTCAATAAAACAAAAAGCTTCACTAACATTCGCGGAAGTTATATCTCACGACAAAGCCCCTGCTTAACTCATAAGTTTTTCAAATCAAATTCAATAAACAAAAAGCTTCACTAATGTCCGTGTAAGTTATAACTCACAACAAAGCCCCTGCATAACTAACATAACTAACATGTTTTCAAAATACAACTTCAATAAAACAAAAAGCATCACTAATGTCCGTGTAAGTTATAACTCACGACGAAGCCCCTGTATAACAGACGTCTGTTAGTGCAACGGTGAGGTACGTTTGTTAGTGCAGCGGGTGAGGGACGTCTGTTAGTGCAACGGGCGAAGAACCTCTGTTTGTACAACAGTATTTAAGAGAATTCTCTTGGATGCAACAAGTAATGGGTGGACGTTTGTTTTCCCGTGCAGCTCATTGAGAAAGATCGCTCTAATTAGAAAAATTACTTTACTGGTTCAAGTTACAGAGAATGCGCTGAATGCAGTGAATTTGTCAATTAAACTTTGTTATATGTATCGAATAAAACAGGGAATATTCATCAATATTCGAAAAAAAAAATTCCTATTAATCGAACATTTAGTTCTTCTGTTCGTACAATCAAAGTAAACAACAAAAACTGGAATCAATTCCATAACAACCAGAATGATGATCGATGTATAATTCGTTTTTTACAGGAATAAAAAATAATATGAAAATAACTATAATTGATTAGAAGATAAGTTTGAGCGTTTCCACTTCCATTAATTCTGCATTAAATTTTATTAAATTTACAACCTGTGCGACGGAATTCATCATATCGTTTTTTATATTGAAGTCCTGAACACATGACAATAACCTGATATTTCAAAGTACCATGTATCATAGATTAAAATCCATACCTTGATTTGCACGTGTGTGTCTTCATGGTAGATAACCTCAAGTCGCACCTCATCGATGTCACCACCGAACATCGTCACCGACCTGTCGCTCTTCACCAGCGTCGACTACAGAGAAATTTTATTTATTTATATAATCCCACAATATTTGTAATTATGTTTCAATTATCGCATAATTCAAGTAACATGTGAAGGCAATAAAGAAAAAATTGAATGAAAACACCAACTGTCCAGTTAAAAATGAGCGTCATATGCGTTCCTGATATTGTCGACCGGCAACGAAGCGTTACAAGAAAAACACTCCTCCCAGGACTTGCTGTATTTTAATAACGACTTAAACAGCAGGTATGTGAAACATGAAAAAGTAGTTATTAGTCAAAACAATTTGGATAGTTCGTCAATTATTGCAAGATAATTCATCAAGTATCCTTAAAAAGTTTCATAGTTTAAACATAACGAAATTATATAAGAATATAAATAACACTAATTTTACTATAGTAACAAAGTGAAAGTTATCTATCGTAACGTAAAACAACACGTAGGTAATGATTAAAGTTCATTGCATTCATCGGATGAGACAAAACACGTATGAAAAATTGTTTGTTTATATCTACTTGCAAACAGTGTATATTACAGATCACCGCATTGTTGTTGAATAATTTCTATGTAATATACCTCATGGGTCATTCAAATGCAAACACAGATTCAATAACAGCAATAAGTATATTTTCAGTTCGCGCAAGTTATAACTCACGACGAAGCCCCTGTATAACTAACATGTTTTCAAAATAGAAATTCAATAAAACAAAAAGCTTCACTAATGTCCGCGTAAGTTATGACTCACTACGAAGCCCCTGTATAACCTATAGGTTTTTAAATACACATTCAAACCTGCATAACTAACAGGTTTTTAAAATACAAATTCAATAAAACAAAAAGTATCACTAATGTCCGCGTAAGTTATGACTCACTACGAAGCCCCTGTATAACCTATAGGTTTTTAAATGCACATTCAATAAACAAAAAGCTTCACTAATGTCCGCGTAAGTTATAACTCACAACAAAGCCCCTGCATAACTAACAGGTTTTTAAAATACAAATTCAATAAAACAAAAAGCATCACTAATGTCCGCGTAAGTTACAACTCACAACAAAGCCCCTCCCGGTGTCGACAGGGTCGGTGCTGTAGTAGTACCCCGCCGCTCTGTTGTCCGCCATGTGGCACACGCCTGCCTCCGCGTCCCACACGCATGCCGTGTACAAGCTGCAGTCCTCCTCTGTTACCGTTGTTGGGTTCCCTAAAATCAGAGGAATGTACATTGATTCAGAGGAATGTTTATTGAACAGAGGAATGTTCTTTGAACTTATTCACTAGTGCGACGAATATTTGTCAATCCTGCTCTGTTTTCGTGTTGGTGAAAAATGAAATCAAGAGACTTATTAATTACGCTAGTCACTCATATCCGAAGCGAATAATCCACAGTCGCCCCTTTTACATACATATAATTTCCTGAGAGCAGGAGACATGTTAAGTATTTATAGAATTACACTCATATGCTAATAATAATAATTAATTGTGTTCTGTCGTGACAGTTACTGGGATGCCTGCTATTCTATTAGAACGCTTTATTATTCATTGCAAAATTGTCTTTTGTGCCTTTTGTTCCGATATTAAAAAGTAATTGATGTAACACGTAGAACTCGTTTTTTCCTACCGATATAAAAAGCAATTATGAAATTCAATGAAATAGCATGCAGATATTTATATTTCTCATTGTTGTGAGAATTAATGGAAGTTTATTTACCGGGGACTGGGCATTCAATGTTGGTGATGGCGCTCTGGGCATAGCACAAGCCCAGGCAGGTGCCCAGCAGTAAGATCGTCAGCTCTCGACTTCCCATGTCGCACGGAGGAAGGTGGGAAAAGAACAACAGTTTGCCCGTCTCCCTCAGCCTTAAGAAGGCTTAATCTAACACCAGGTGTTGAGATAAAAATGTTCACTGGAGGAAAGGGCTGAAGAAAAACAAATATTTACCATGTCATGTACCCCTTTTGGAGATTCAAGTGCTAGACGTTAGATGACGAAATTTGTACTGAGAGGTTCAGGCATGAATTCTAAGCAGATATTATAAGAGTAGTGCCTTAAAACTGATAGGGAACTACTGGTGCTGATTAAAAATCGCTTCATTTATGTAAACATGTAGTTCAAATTAATAATGGGTTAAATTCTGTAAATGTACTGAATATATTTTGAAGGTTTATGTACAGTAGACGCTAAGGTGACTCAGCCGAACATAAGATCAGAGCGTTGCATCATCTCACTAACCAGAAGTACGGTTGACAGTGATTGAACTTGAAATTATACTCAGTAAGCCGTAAATTCATAATTCTAGTCCACTAAAATGGTATCGTGGGATGTCAGCCAATAAAATCGCTAGATCTACAGTGTGCACGTTGATCGAAAGCCGTAGATCATTGATGGAAATTAACCTATCGCGCGGATAGAGTAAAAAGATATCGTAACAGAAAATTTATTCCTGATATCTTTCAAAATAAATATACCCCTCGTGTACACTTAATTAACCTGTGCTCTGAAAACCATGGCATTAGTAAGGGGATCAAATGGCATGTATTGTCAGAGCATACATTAGTCAACATAGAATGTGGTATGCGATGGACTCCTACAATGTTTGCTTTCTGGTTTGAATAAGACTTAATTTTGAAGAGTAGAACCCATGCACAACTCGGCGTCTTGGGCTATTTCGTCAATTGAAATGTGTGTCACTAGGCCAAACATACGATGCACTTAGAAAAATTTGAAAACGATTGATTCAATTAAATACGATTTGATATAATACGAAAAATTTTATGTCTCCATATTTAGAATTCTACCACGCAGAGGTTGTCAGACGCGTTATCGCTCTCAGTCGCTGTATGGCCTTCAAATTAACAGTTTCACTAGTCCACCGTGAGAAGAGCTTACCCGAGGTACAAGTTAGGAGCATAGCTTGATATTTTATATGATAAAAACCTCTGTGGCTGAGATAACACAATAAGTGAACACGTGACAGGCCCAACGCAATAAATATTGTCCTGTTATAGTAAAGCATCATTAACTGTTGGGAAAATAGTAAATTTAAAATTAAAGTGCGCTCTGGACTAAGCGAATTTTGGTTGAAGAAACCTAATATATTGATGCATGACAAGATTAATTAATGCCTACCGATTATTGCCGTTTGCCACAGTCCTATATAAATTTTAGGGATGTCCTATTTGCACCGTTATCATTATTATTAATAAAAAGTAATAATTTTCTAAAATATCAAATTAGTTGCATACCATCCGAGCTACTTTTAAATTGACGTTTTCTTTTTGCGATAGTTCAGTTATCGGTCCTCGGTTCAGTCCGCCAAAAATTTGTGGTACAACTTCGATCCATACTCAATAATTGTTGGGTCGCCTGCCGAAGACCACCACTGCTATGGATGTAATGGACCATCATGATTCCTACCTTCCGGAATGTAGCCTTCAACATTTCAAGCTGTCCGTATCTAGACCGTGGGTCGAACCCATGGTTGAACTAGTATAAGGTGGACTCATCAGAAGCCCATTTTTGCGGATGTTATAGTTCGTTGTTCGCCTGTGACGTCACTGATCTCAGTGACGTCACGGGCATTAACCAATCACCGAAATGCGATCAAACCAGTCGACCAATCCGTCATGGGAATGACGGGTTTGTTTACGTTTCTCGATCTACGTGACGTAACAAGAAAGCTGAACTGAAAGACGGAACTTCTCGTGGGTCAACCTTATATAGTTCATCCATGGGTCTTCTTTTCTTCTTTTTGGAGCTGAGGGAGCTCTGGAGACTCGTCCAAGGCAGCCCCCCGACAGACATCCATGGGTCGAACCAGCCCTCGGTCGAACGGTCACTTGTCGAAGGATGATAAATTTTGGAACATAACTATGCTATATGAAGCCTAACCTCAGATGCGGTGAACGTAAAATTACGTAATTTAACGATGACCGGAAGTCAGATTCGATCCGCGGCCTGGTGGTGCACGGCAGGTTCTATGCGAGGCCGGAGCAAGACAAAGCCGAGTGATTCACGGCTGATTGGTGGATGTCCGGAGAGGGGTTGCCTGCCGAAGACCACCACTGCCCTGGATGTAATGGACCATCATGATTCCTGCCTTCCGGAACGTAGCCTTCAACACTTCAAGCCGTCCGTATCTAGGCCGTGGGTCGAACCAGCCCTCGGTCGAACGACCAGTTGTCGCAGGACGATAAATTTTGGGACAGAACTATGCTATCTGAAACCTAACCTCAGATGCGGTGAACGTAGAATTACGTAATTTAACGATGCCCAGAAGTCAGATTCGATCCGCGGCCTGGTGGTGCACGGCAGGTTCTATGCGAGGCCGGAGGAAGACAAAGCCGAGTGGTTCACGGCTGATTGGTGGATGTCCGGAGAGATCCAAGGCGTTCGATTCAGGGCTTATTGGTGCACGGCTGCGCTCCCTCCGGAGAGATCCAGGGCGTTCGATTCAGGGCTTATTGGTGCACAGATTTGGTGGTGCACGGCTGCGCTCCCTAATTGTTCACATTTTAGCGTTCGGTTGATTCTAGTCTCAAATCCTTCGCGTTTGGCTTTGACTTAGCTTTGAGCGGTACAGAACCTCGCCGCTTTAGAAGCTTTAATTCCCAACATCTAGTCGATTATATCGAAAATAACTAATGCTTGCTCGTTTGTTATAGCCAAACTGCGTAGGCATTCTAGCCACTCTAGTCACACCAGCAACAACTCCCATAGAGAAGCGTATTTCGGGGTCGACTTATCTTCTTTCATGTGTTCGTGAACTGAAAGAACAATGAACGTTGGAACAGCAATAAAGACGAAAATTCGCCTCCAGTCTCTTTACTCGTGTTTACGAAACTGGCGAAGCCACACAAGAAACTTCGCACACGGAATTTTAGTCGTGACCATACATGCGCACTGAATAGCCGTTGGGTACGAAATTGAAGCTGAAATCACACAAGTCAAATCTCAAATGATTAGGACATTGGATACGGAATCCAAGCAAGAACATCATGAAAACGACATATGTAGATCATCGCCGAGTAACGGACGGTAAGCTACACAATAACCTAGACACTGTGTACCGCGACCAGGAAATGTAGTAACGAGCAAGATAAAAATTATAGGGATTTCATCATACCTGCAAACACTTGATATTATTTGTATGAAGATTCGATGCAGAAGTAGAATGCTTTTCCAACGGCAAGAAGTGCTAAGACGAATGCTTTTCCAACGGCACGAAGTGCTAAGACACCGACCTCTTTGCAGTCCAAGTAAATCAATAGAAAGCAAGCACTACATCGCTCACTCTCACATTGCGTATGCATGTGCTCAATTAGCGTATGTGTATGCAATTACTTACCGAGCATTGACAACAGACATGAATGTCAAATAGTTTTCGCACATAAATGCCAAGTCAAATACAATAGCACTACACTGATCAAGGACAAGAGTCTTATGCGCTTCAATGAAGCAAACAAGTTCATATTCCATTACTTCCTACTCTAATAAATTCGGAACTATTCAACTTACGAAACTTGGGTTTCGAAAACATGACAAAGAATCATTTCATGAGTTTATAGGTATACAATAAATCCAAGTTGAACACTAAAGCAAGAGAATTGAGGAAAATGAAATAAAATTAGCACCAACTTCAAGAATTTAATAAATCTTACGTACAAAAATATGAAATCCTAGCTGATAAGGATAACTCGCTGGTATGCAAGATCTGATTTCATCTTATCTACGTAAATGAAGCTGCTAATGCTGCTTTATCATTCTTTGAACTGAGCAAATCAAGGCTCTATAATACTGAGCTAAAACAAGGATTTTATTAATTGCTATTATCACCTCGAAAAGCTTCTTTGCAAGTGGATAAATCGTAATATTTTACGTTAGAATGCAACCTAAGAGAAATTAAACAATAAACGGGAATTCCAACCGATTACCCAATGATTTATCATAACAATAACAAGCATAATGCAGAACACAAGCATACGGTAATGCAGAACACAAGCATACGATAATGCAGAACACAAGCATACGATAATGCAGAACACAAGCATACGGTAATGCAGAACACAAGCATAATGCAGAACAGAAGTGCATCAGTGTATCGAAAATTTAGCTAACTATTGTGATCAACTTTAGGCCGATATGTCCGCGGCTGATGTTTACATTGATGACCGATACTTGGACGACGTTTCCAACATGCAAGCGGGTGCCGTTCAGATTATGAGTGTGAATCAAGCCATCTTGGCCAACACCGATATCAACAAACACGCCGAAGGTTGTCACGTTCCTCACACTTCCAGTTAAGCGTTGACCTGTTTTTAGATCAGCCATATTAGTGACTCCTTTCCGGAAAATAGGCTTATGAAATTGAGCCCTGAAGTCGAAGTCCAAAGGCTGGTATAAACTCTCCAAGACGGTTTTAAGTGAAGATTCGGAACAGTTACATTTTTCTCTTATTTCAAGTAAACTATGTCGTGTCATGAAATTTTTGAGTGCATGAATGAATTCATGGTCGCCAATATTGTTAATATCAAGTGACGCCAAAGAAATAAGCGATTTTGCAGATTCATACGACTCGGGATGCACTGTCGTGGAGTCCAATGGGCAAAGAGGTGCAAGATTGCTTTTAGCGCGCTGCCTCAAGGTTTGAGGGACTATTTTAACGAACCCTGCACATTGCTGGAAACTGACTGGGCCAATTCCTTTTACTTTTTTTATCTCCTCTCGATTGCGGAAAGGCCCCACATCTTCCCTGTACTTAACAATCGCTGAAGCACGCGCTTTGTTCAACCCAGAGACTTTGCGGAGGATAAGTTCCGAGGCAACGTTGATGTCAACACCCACAAAAGAAACGCACTCCATTACGACAGAATCTAGCGCAGTATCCAGGAGTTTTTTATTCACGTCGCGCTGGTACATACCCACGCCAAGATGTACGGGCGGAACTTTAACGTACTCCAGGAGGGGGTCCTGCAATCGACGAGCCAGAGACACGGCACTGATGTGGTTAATGTCCATGCCAGGGAACTCAGCGCTTGCCTCGTTCGTAATCGAATACTGTGAAGCACCAGACTCATTAATAATTGTGTACTGAACATTCAATGCACCAAAAGCTTCTTCGCTGATAAGCTTGCTCAGCCACGCCTCAGTTTCTCGGCATGCTGTACCGTTGCCGATGGCAATGACTTCGCAGTGATACTCGGAGGCGAGTCTGACGAGAGTTTGTGCCGCGGCTTCGCTTCGAGGCGCCGCGAAGGGAAATATTGTGTCAACAGCCAACACTCGTCCTTTGCGTTCAACGACAGCAACTTTGCATCCTTTGGCAAAGCCAGGGTCGATGGCAAGGACAGTATTTGCTCTGACGGGTGGAGTTAGAAGAAGGTGACGTACGTTCGTCACGAAGACTTCAATAGACGCAAGCTCTGCAGTGTCACTTAGCTCACTTCGCACCCACAATTTCAGGCTTGGCGACACTGTAAAACCCAAACGAAACCTCAAACAAAGTGGAAACAAAGATGCACTACGTTGAGACGTGAAAAAAATCAATTTCCTGTCCCCCATATCCTAATTATGGATATAAATTTTTTTATCTTGGTCTGGTCAATATGCACAAAAAGAGACCTTATCAAACACGGCAATATCATATTTTGAACTGATATGTAAGTTTTTAGCAGCCTAACCTATAATTGTTCAGATTTATCTCTCATAATTTTTTAAACAAAAATCCTAATAGTATGAACTGCAATAGTCACATATTTCTACAAACTTAAATTCTTGTTTTTGAGGAAAAAATTGTAGCAACTTACATTATAAAAAGTTCAAACTGTTAAATTCGCTAGAAAACGTTTATGAACATTCTTTGAACTATACTGGTCCACAATTAAACGTTATTACCGTCTCACAGATGGAGCAGCATTACAAATTGACTTATTTCAAGTCAATATTTCGTTGCACTCAATTAGTATAATACTAGGTAACAATAAGCATCATAACAATGACCAAAATAAAATGGACCAATATAAATCATTATTATTAATTGAAAACTTGATAAATATGCTATCACACAAGAATAATGTTTGATAAAAATACCGTAAAATGGGGTTACTTTGACTCCCGGGGTAACTTTGACTACTTTTCGTTTTTTTTAACAAAAACCCCCAAAACTCAAAAACTATTTGACATAGAAAAATTTTGTCAATGGCCATTAAAGGCCTAATACTGAGGCTATGTAACACAATAGAAAGATTTTAAAAGTTTGCATATCTAATAGGTTAAAAATTAAAAATGTGACCCACGAAAAAGAGCTATTATTTAAAGCCCGTCAGAGTACCCCCTCCAATTTTTTAATTTTTTGGTAAAATAACTCCAGGTTTTGATGCATTGTAGTAGAACTCTTCTAGTTACATATGCAAATGACAAATTTTAGGGAAGTGTCATAGTTTGTAAATGGGGGGCGCCAGCCCCCAATGGGGGAACTTTGACCACATAATGGCAGCCATGACGGGGTAACATAGCCCGGCTTGGAAATTAAGTTAAAATTACCATAGGTACCTATATAACTTATTTTATGTTTGATACACCTACTAATGCTTTTTCTTTATGTTTCAGACTCTACAGAGTCTTATATATGGCAATTTTAACTGAAGTTCCATGCCGGTCAATGTTACCCCATCACAGCTGCCATTAGGTGGTCACATTTCGCCCATTGGGGGGCGGCGCTCCCATTTGCAAACTAGGACACTTTCCTAAAATTTGTCATTTGCATATGTAACTAGAAGAGTTCTACTACAATGCACCATAACCTGGAGTTATTTTACCAAAAAAATTTGATTTTACCATCCAGTCAAAGAAACCCCAAGAGCTGGGGTAACAAAGACCATCACTTTTTAGAAATTACATCAAAACTATGAGAGGCAGGAGCCAGCAATTTATGGTGATTGAAGCTAGAGTATAGACCTGCATTTTGCATGTTTCAATTTAAGTTTAGCTTATCTAGTAAAAAAAATGACGACATAAAAAAAAGTGGTCAAAGTTACCCCATTTGACGGTATCTAATTATACTTTGTAGGTCATCATGATATGTTCCTTTATTTCAGGGATACTCTCGACGAACGGCCAGTGATATTGGTTCTAGAAATTTTAATGCCCGAACCTATATAGGATCTTACCCAGTCTATCCCAACAATCCTGCTGGGTGTCCAGTAACACGCGCACCCCGTAGGACTCTCCGTACCCATGTCCAAGGTTACGGTTTGTGGATCCAAGAAAATTTCGTTGAACGTGCGAACAAAACCGGTGGTAGGCTTCGTCTGGGAGCACCACTTTCACGTTCAACACGCCTTGCTGCTCGCCTCTGTTTATGGCGCAGATCTGGAAAATTAGTCAATTATATTTTCCATGTCAATACTCTTCTGTTGATGAATAATTTAAAAAATGATTTACAGTGACACGCATTCGCAGAATAGACCGTTATATGGACAATAATGGATTCCAAAAGTATATCATGATATCAAAAAAAACATCTCCGCTAAATTGGAAAAGATGAAACACACCAGCAATATCCACAATTTACACATGCTTTAAAATCAGAACCGTGCGCAAAAACAAAAGCATATAAACAAAGGCATGTTAATCAAAGATTCGCGTACATTCCATTGAGGTTATCTTTACAGAAAATTTATGGTACTTTACGTCTACCGACAAATAAATATTTCTGCCAATTCTTTTACTACTAGAAAACTCAGCGTTGTCATTCCTGATATTTGAACATCTCGTTATTCAGAATCCAAGCATCACAAATACCAATGATTACCCCGAATCCCATCAATATGGATCCTTTCTTCTTACATCCTATTAACATGAAGCCGTCACTGCAAATCCAGTTATCCCGAATCATGTCGCACGGAACAATGTCATCTCAAATATTGTTACATTATTTTCTTAACATTAAAGCAGAGAAAAACAAGAAACTACAGTCTTTAGGTCTTACAGCATGAGGAGCCACCCGCCAGGCCACCATGCTAAATTCGAAGTACTGCTCGTATTTTCGGATCACGTCAGGCGACAGGGCAGAGTCGCCTTTCTTCGTGGCTGCAGTGCCACCCAAACTTTTGCGCTTGGCAACAACCTTCTTAGGCTTCAGGGGTGACTTCTTCAATTTGGATAGGACTTTGCGAGCACGACTAGAGACTAGCTTCACACTGCTTCTTTTCAGCCTGGACATATTTTTTAGAATTAGGTTAGATTAGCATATTAAAGAAATTATTCAGTTTAAGGTTTAAAATTCATGATCATCACCATAGAGTGAGATATACTAGAAACCACAAAATATATTGAAGTTAGTTTCATTTGAATGTGTTGTTCTAACAAGTGTTATTAGAACAACCCATCCTGTACACAATGACGCAGATATACTTTAACAGACAAACAATCAACAAAACAAAGCTCACCAAGTTTTCATCTCTTCCAACATCTTTGCATTTTTACTGATGATATCAGCAATGATGTACTTGATGCCGGACTCAACATCGTCGATGGTGCTGCGTCCTTGCATCCCAGGAACCACCAACTTCTGGAGTTCATCTCTAACGGCTACGGCGTCTCGGTTACGAAGAAGCTCTTCTGCAGTAGGGGCCAACCCTGCCTTACGAGCTCGATCAGCAAAAGTTCCCTTGCCTGTGGTTCGCAGACTTGCACTCAGTATCTTTACTTCCTGAAGAGATGTAGCTTTCAGGAGAGATTCCTTTATCTCTGGCTCCAGCGGTTTCTTCTGGTCAGAAACAATTTTCGACACCTTCAGCTTTACTTCTTTCAGCTGCTCATAGGAGCTCAAAACCTCGCGAAGTTTTCCGATCTCCAAGTCGCCAGTTTTCTCTCGCCTGTATCGTGCTATGAATGGCAACGTACACTCTTGGTCGACTAACCTGATGATCTCTCGAGCGTGGTTAACATCGATTCCTTTTCGGGTTGATATCACCTGAGCAGGATCCCAATCACAAGAAATGTTCGTTGGAGATTTTGTTTTCTTGACGCTCTGCTTTTCACAGGAAGAACTTTGTTTACTTGACTCTGCGCCAGGAATATCTGACTTCTGAATAGCACAAGATGAAAAAGACTTCGCCTTAGCAGGCGAAAACTCCGAAGAAGTTGACATGTCAAGAGACATAATGGAAAACTCAGCATTAGACGTCTCCAGTTCCGGTAAAGCCTCCTTGTATTTGCTAGCAATTGGGGCCTTTGCGCGAGTAGATACACCAATACCACGACTCGGCGGGTGGCTTTCATTATAGAATGAAACGCTTTCATTAAAATGACATCTACCATTATTGTGAGGCCAATTTCCATGATTGAAAGGCCCACTTCCTTGATTGAAAGGCCCACTTCCTTGATTGAAAGGTCCACTTCCTCGATTGTAAGAACCACTTCCTCGAATGTAAGAACCACTTCCTTTATTGAAGGGCCCACTTCCTCGATTGTAAAGTCCACTTGCTAGATTGTGAGGCCTACTTTCTTGATTGTAAGGCCAGCTGTCTTGATTGTAAGGCCCGCTGTCTTGATTGTAAGGCCCACTTCCTTGACTGTAAGGCCCGCTGTTTTGATTGTGAGGCCCACTTTCTTGATGGTAAGACATACTTCCTTCATTGTAAGGCCTATGCCCTTGATAGTAAGGCCCTCTTCCTCGATTGTATAGACAACTTCTCTGAGTGTGAGGCCTGCTTCCACCTGCAGATTCTGAAATGACAAGTTCATTTTTTTGACTGCAAGCTTCACTTTTACTGCCGTAATCCCCAGTCTCACCCACTGGTTCAGTTTTGTACGTTTTTAACTCAGTTCTTACGTTAGTTGGCTTGTTCTCCGTAGCTGGCTCCATTTTGCAAAGATGCATTTCTGGTGAGTCATCACCATCACATTCATGCTCATGCTTAAGTGCATCAATGATTGGTAGCTTATTGGCAATCTTCAACAGCCTTGATGAAGATGAACCATCATTATTATCGAATTCTTTTAGATAGTGCCCAGTTTTTAGATCATCAGAATGTTCAAAGGCCTCATCAGGCAACTTTAGTTTCTTTGTGACAGTAGTTTTGTCTGTTGATTTAAGTTTACGTTTAACCGGAACCTGAGAATCAAGGCACACTGAATCTTCATGTTTTACAAGTTTTGAGCGTTTCAGTTTCACTGGAGCTACAGGAATGAACTCCATGAGTTCATTGGAAGCAACATGTCTTGGTCGTCTTAGTTTTAATGGGGCACCAGAACTCAAGGGTAAAAAGTCTTCAGATTCAGTGGGTTGACGAGAAGACCCTGAAGTTTTATTGACTTCTGAAGACTCCATATTTTTTAAGGAATTAGTAATTGCTAGACGTTTGCCAGTTGAACGCTTCAACACATGCTGAAAAAAAGACCAAGATTTCTTATCAAAATCTGAAACAGCAATTAGATATATAAATTGGGAAATCAAAAACTCTTACCACATTATAAATCATAAGAAAAACTACAATAAATGACTTGGGAGGTATGAGATACTTTAGTAAAATGTAAGATTTTTTCTAATCTTGTCTTCCAAACCTGGTTTTAACTGTTTTAACAATACAGTTGTTCCAATTTACTTCCCATGATTTATACAGATGCTGACAACTTGCATGTAAATTATCAAATGAAAAAATTAGATTGAGATGACAATGTTGCAGAAATTGCCAAATTTTTCTAACTGTAGCAATGTTCTTAAAATGCTTTTCTATACAAATTGCAAGAGGTTATAATGTAAAAAATTACCTTCAGTCATTCCTTTCTAGGAAGTAAAAAGAACAAATTCTTTCCCATTCTTAGTCTTTGAATATATTTTCACACAGAAACATTTTAATTCACTGCATCTCAAAAAAACAGATAGATTTGTTTGTACCTGCATGACACCAAAAGTGCTGTTGATTTCTGAAGACTCCATATTTGCAGATGCATTTGTAATTGCTAAACGTTTGCCAGTTAACAGCTTCAACACATGGTGAAAAATGAGATTTCATTTTAAAATCTTGAATCACTATTAGACATTGTGAAATGAAAGACAGAAAATGTGATCTTTTTCTACCATCTAAGAAATCAGATTGAAGGGCAATATCAAAGCTCATTTATCCATTAAAAATTCTATTCACGTTTAAAAAAATTAATCTGTAATTGTGATTAATAATTTAATCACTTGGTATCTTCAGTTTTTATGGTCTTCACTGTGGAAAATGTGTCCACAATGAATCAAATAAAATGCACATACAAAGGAGCCTAATGATTATAACTCACACTATTTTGAAACTTTACCTTCTTATTATTTTCTGAATTTTCATGGCCCAACGGAGGTCCTCTGAATTTAGCTGATGACTTGTTCATAAAGGTCTTCATTATATTCTTCTTATTTCCAGAAGCAATAATACTTCTTGAGCCTTTAGAAATACTTTGCTTTTGGAGAAATTTTTTCTTCAATTTTTTTGAATTACGAGTACTTGCACACGTTGTCCCAAGCTCGTCTTTAGGAAATATTCTGTTGGGTGTTGATGCCTGGTAAAGAAGCACAGTCATTATCACTCATTGTGCCGAGGAAAGAATTATGGATGGAACATTGTCTTTGGTGATTAAATCATTGTTTTTAAATGGTTGCTAATCAAAAAATTTGGACAGAAATGAATGCAACTAGCATTGAATTGGTGCAAACATTACATTGTTCACTCAAACATCTTTTATAAAGTATAAGTGCAAAATATATTCAGTTTGCATATGTGTCCATATTAGCTCACAAGATCATGTACCCTTGAAAACTTTAAGATTAAACTCATACATTTTAATGACTGCCAATTATATCTGATAAATTCAAATGAACTAAATAGATTTTACAATCAATTTGCACAAATTTAATAGTAGCTAAGTTAGCTAACCAATAAAAAATCAAATTACTTCATCAGGTCCATCAAGTTGTTTACATTCACCAATGAGAGGCACATCTAGGACTTGAGCATGAGCTGTGCGTGCGCTGCGTCGTTGAGGTCTGGGTGGCACATACTCTCCAACTATTTCCACATAATCATCATCTGAAAGGAATACAATCAATACATGAACAATACAGAGGAAGTTTACTGAATTCAAGAAGACCACTTGCTTCAAATAATTCAGTGTAGATTAAATGGCTGAAAATTAATTCAAAGAAATTTTATACAAACACTTTTATTTTTTTATAACGAGAAGAAATTTTATAATTGTATTTTATAACGAGAAGAAATTTGAAACCAACAGTTCACTTTGTCTTTAAATTAGGAAGAGGTAGGCAGTGCAAACTCAAAAGTATAATAGTTGTCAGAGTCAAGATTATTCAAGATTAATTTGATGAATGATGATTTTGAACATGATTCTGTTCTTTGATGATTATGTTCACATCCAAGAACAAATTTGGGTTATTTATTATTCAGTGTTGATAAATTTTAAGAGAATTTTGACATTAAATCACTAAAATTACAGTACCAGTAGTTTAAGACAAATTTGAGCAAAGTCACATACAATTCTGTTTTTTTTAACAAAGAAAGAGTAAGAAAATTTGGTAGGGAGAGGTTAAAAGAATAATATTTAGAACCCAGATTAAATTGAAGATGATCTTTTTAATTAATTTCAAGTTGTAACAAAAACTTGTTCAACAATCAACATACATATTTCAATGCTACTTGCATAATAATAATGAAATTAACCTTATTCTGATTATTTATTCTTACCTGGAACCACCATAGCTCCTTTCTTGGTTGTTGGTGGTAGCCATTCTGAGTCATCCAAGTTGATGGTGTCATCTATGTCTAGGAAGAAACACATACACTCTCAATATTTCTTGGACATTGGGCTGGCAAGTTAACATTTGGAGGGTAAATTGTAGATTTTGTTCATTAGCAAATACATATGTATATAGATATATAACTATATATTTGAGTTTTGGTCCATAGCCCAACTGGATTGGTAACATTATCAGACAGGAGATAAAAAACTGGATAAGAGTGCAACTGGTTATGCACTCTGTAATTAGTTTGTACTTGAAAACCAGATGCAAAAATAAATAAACTACCATCAAACATGGTATTAACCCTTTAGCGGGCAAGCATTGAAATATCCAGAAATTAAAATTTCAGAAACCATTCCAAGAAAGTAAGAAGTATTATACAATATATTTATTTATATGAATTTTTGCAAATTTCGCCTATTGAAGGTTTAAATCGCACTTGAAGAATTCAATAAATGTGATCAGTACACAAAATTTTTCTTTATAATTAAAATTCAGTTTATGCAAATGAAAAATTAGAAACATAAAAATTTAATTTAATTAAATTTAATCAAGTTGCCAAAATAAATAAATATATATATTGATACTTCCAAATTTTGAAGAAAATGCGGAAAAAGCGTCAATTCCATTGTCTGAGTCAAAACCTTCATTTAAATGCTCATATTTCAATTTGTGGACTTTGCATCTGGTGATGCTATAGATAGAATGATGGTCAGATAATTAGTGATTGACTGAGGCATTATAAGGATGCCTCAAAAACAAACAGGAAGCCGTGGTGAGGCTTTTTGTGACGCAATTTCAAGTGATCATATATGGTAACTTACCCGTGAAAGGGTTAAGGGACAATTTTTAGTGCTTTTTCTCATTTATGGAAAAAAGGTGCTATTGTGCTTGTCATGTCCATCCATCCATGACTTCATGGATGGACAGATGAGAAAATGCGCTCTCTGTCACTCACTGCAGTGAGTACTAATCTAAATTTTCATTTTTTTTTGTTGATAACTTCTTTTGCATGAAACATTTCATAAATGAGTTTTGTCTCATTTTAAAGGTCTTTGCAAGGGCTATCATATGGTATATCTACAAAAATTCTATTTGCGATTCATATGGTGCCAAAAATGGAAAAAAGTGGCTCAAATTAACCCCTGGGAATGGGGTAATCCAGGACACTAGAAATAAAGCTTAATTTTAAAATATTTGAAGCAAGCAGAGAGTGCTCAGTGCTCATCCATTACTAACAGTACTATGAAGTCCTACTCTTAATTTGTAGATGATGTAGATGTAGAATAAATGACTTTTCTGTCATTTGTACATGTTTTCCTTTATAATACTACCCTATCTATTTTTCATAAAAAAAATTTCCATTCTATACCCTAAAACAGTGTAGTAAGGGATGAGTGGGATAAGTAGGGACAGTCCTCTGCCATGGCCTAAAAATGTTATAGCAGCAAAACTAAATGAAATATTGCAAAACTAAAAATAGTGGCATAAACTTCATCATTTTTACAACACTTCTCTTTAACTTCACTTCTTGACTGTTTGTTTGTCTGTCTGTCTGCTACAAATCTTATAATCAATATTTAACACACTTCTACCTGTCCAATTGATCTAAAATTTGGCACACTTGCGTAAAGTTGAAGACAATGCATGAATCAATTAACAGAATATATAATTTTAAAATTAAAAATTTTTTTTGTAATTTAAAAAATTAAGAAAATAATTTTTCTTCTACAAATCTTATACCGTAATCAATATTCAACACACTTCTACCTGTCCAATCAATCTGAAATTTTGCACACTTGTGCAAAGTTGAAGACAAGATATGAATCAATTGACAGAATAAAAAATTTTAGAAATTTATTTTTTTTTCATATATTAATATTAAAAAATTAAAAATTAACTCTTATTAATATAGGTATGGAAATAAAATTAGAAATTCATTGTAGATGTGTAACATAGGAGAGACTGTATTCTTTAGAAGTGTTGTCTTTAAAAAGTAATTTTTAAATGCATATTATTCCTATCTATGTAGCATAAAGAAAGTTAAGAAATCATACATTTACTGGCACTAAGAAATCCCTGAAAAAATATGAAAAAAAGATATTTTGAAAACACACTTAGGTTAAGGTCTGTAGTAAAAAAAATATTCACCATATTAAAAAAATTTTGCTTGAAAAAAGTTTCAGACAGGTGTTCCACGAGACAGGGGGAGGACACCCTTCCTCCCCTGGCTATAATATGGGAGAGCCATATAACTGCATTTACAGTAGAACCTTGGTTAGCAAAGGCTCCAGTTAATGAAAAAATTGGCTAATGACAAAGGATATTAATAACATTCATTGGTCATAACAAAATTTTGCATAGAATGTCATAGATGCAATTGTGCACCAGGCAACATATATAATAAAAGGAAATTAACTTAAACTATAATTTATTTCTCCAAAAAATATGAAGTTTGTCACAAAAATATTCCTCCCTGTTTCTGGTATGTTTTATGATGTTTTTGCATACATATAGTGAATTCACTAGACCCAATTAAAATGGTGCAAAATTACAAGCCCTCTATCTGGTCATTCTGGGCATGCCATCTGGTCAATCTTCAACACAAATAAAAGGTTTAAATGGTTATATTTGGGTTTTTCAAATTTACTTGAAAATTATTTTAAATACCAGTAGTTTTTTAATTTTTTCAAAGTTCTAAGGTAAAAGTGTGTATGTGCACAAACCACAAGCGGATCATAACAAACACACTTGCCAAAATGGCAGACAGGCATTTTTTGCTTTGGTGCCTGGGAGGCATTCACTTTTAAAAGACCTGCCCAACAGGTAGCTTAATTGAAAAGTAAAGAAAATAGCCAAAAAGTTTACCATTTCTTATAAGAGAAAACGTTTCGGAGTCCAGCTCCATCATCAGTTCAAAACCTAGAACACAGGTACAAACAATTAGTAACCTAAAATTCACATTCAAACAATTCACCTAAACTTGAGGACATTAGAACTAAAATAGAAAATAACAGAAATAAAAATGAGATAACATGTAGAGAAAGTACTATCTATTTACAATTTGTAGAGGATAAGAACTGAATGCAGCATTTAAACTGGGTTTCTGTTTGAAAATAAATAATGATTCTAACATTCATAGGTCAGAAACACCGGTTGTGTATCTCGTAGGTCTGACCTACGAATCTCTGTACAGCAATCCCTTGATTAGCACGGTTTTGAATCCCGCGGTTTTGATTAACGCGGAAAAAAAAATTGCAACCTACCCTTAATCTACGCGGTGCCAGTTTTGATTAGCGCGACTTTTTTTCACAATGCATCAATTTCCCGCCTCTAGCCAGAGGTGTTACGTTCGTAACAAAAATGTTACTTTTTGCTTATTAGATCTTATGTTGTTACTTTTGTTACGACTTTTGGAAAAATTCGCCAAATGTTGTTACTTTATGGATTTCAGTTAATAATTCTTTAAAGTCTAGCCGCGAGTGTGACGGTAGCGTCACATGTTGTGAACTTGTTCGAACGACGTTCGATGGAGTAGGCGCGCCGCTACTGCCAGTACATACAACACAAAGACTGCTCGTGATCTGAAAAGTAATTCAGATTGTTTTTTCACTTTTGAAACATAATTCAGTGATGAATTTTAGTGGAAATATGATGAATTTTAGTGGGAAAAAAATTATTATGTAACTTTGCTATTTTTGAGGATTCATTATAATTATTCCCATATATTCTTAAGTTTGATTAGCGCGGTTTTGCTCAACACGGTAAAACTCGGGAATTTATCAACCGCGTTAATCAAGGGATTGCTGTATCTCGTAGGTCTACATAAAATTCGTAGGTCTGACCTACGAATTTTAGAATCATTATTCATTTTCAAACAGAAACCCAGTTTAAATGCTGCATTCAGTTCTTATCCTCTAAAAATTTTAAATAGATGTTATCTCTACATGTTATCTCATTTTTATTTCTGTTATTTTCGATTTTAGTTCTAATGTCCTCAAGTTTAGGTGAATTGTTTGAATGTGAATTTTAGGTTACTAATTGTTTGTACCTGTGTTCTAGGTTTTGAACTGACGATGGAGCTGGACTCCGAAACGTTTTCTCTTATAAGAAATGGTAAACTTTTTGGCTATTTTCTTTACTTTTAAATTCCTGGTGAATTTGCGACTTAAGCAGCCAAGTGATTTTAGTAGCTTAATTTGAGTAATGTGTATCTTGAAATGAATGAAAATAATTGAACTATGACACGACCATCTTGTTTTTCAATAAATTTAAAATTGTCTATTTGCTTGGTTGGGAATCATAAAGGGTACCACTTTGTGTCAAAAATAAACTTTGACATCGTATTTGGAAGTTAATGCAAGATAATAAAAAGTCAAGATTACTGTTCTTAGAGCAATGCTCTCAAAATTTCAGAGCTCATCAGCTGTTTGCACAGCAATTTCTAAAATCTGTAAAGAGGCGGTTTTTGAGTTACAGTTCATGTTCAGTCGTGCAGTATGTCAGCAGTATTGTACTACTACTACTTGACTTTAGTACCTAGGCTACCTATCATTTACATATTTATGTGTCATTTAACCATAATTTATCTATGATTTTCCATCATTTTTCCATAATTTTCCTGCCATTTTCATATTATTTTCCCATAATTTTCATATAATATTTTCCTATCAATTAACTATCATTTTCTTATCATTTATCCATCATTTACCTATCATTTATCCATAAATACCCATCATTTACCAATCTTTTACCAATCATTTGGCAATCATTCATCTATCATATAATGAATGCATTAATGAACCCACCTGCATCACTCATTCATCAGTTATTTATCTTCATTTATCATTCATGTATTATTCATTCATTATTCATTTCTCATTTATTTATCATTAATTTATCATTAAATTATCTTTCAATTATCATTCATTGATCGATCATTCAAGAATAATTTATCATTCATTTATCTCTCATTCACATATCATTTATTCATCATTCATTTGTCTTTCATTTACCGTCAAC